AGAGAGAGAGAGAGAGAGAGAGAGAGAGAGAGAGAGAGAGAGAGAGGGAGAGGATGAGAACATGAGGACACACAAGATCTTCCTAGAGGGTCTTATGGTCTCTTGGGGGTATTTCTAATCAGGCCTGTTAAGTCAGTGCTGGAGCCCAAGGAGTATGCAGAATGTACTGGCTTTTCAGCCCCCAGAAGGGTATGCTGGGTAGGCTCTGTGGATTGAACCACTATTAATTCCCATGACTGTTCCCCCCATGGTATGTAGAGAGCATGATCCACACTGTACAGGCACAGAGACCTCTAAGCATGAGCATTCAGTCATAGTCAAGTTTTGCCATGCTGGAGCCCCCTCTGCTTCCCATGCTCCATATCACTCCCCATTTCCTAATTCCCAAGTATTTCTGGCTGCCAGCAGCAGTTCTATCAATGACCTGACATTGCAATTTTCTCTCCATGTGAATATGTCTATCTCAGGAGATTGTAAAACTTTGTGGAGACTTTAGCATGGGAGAGGTTGGAGTACTAATGGATATTTTTAATTTAAATTTATTTTTAAAACACTTTTAAGGAGTGAAACTCCTATAGTAGCATACAAGATGAAAGAAGCAATGCAAAACAAGATTATGTAGACTTTGGATTAAGCCCTGTCAACCAAAGATCTCAAATTCAACAGTAGTCCACCTTCCATGCGGCCCCCCACACACCCACAGCTTGCCTTTGGGTAATACAGAACCAATGCCATTGTATAAATGCAAGAACAACCTTTCCCAACCTGGGTCCTTCCAGATGTTCTTGGCTATGAGTCTCAACAGGCCCAGCCAGAATGGTGAAAGATCAAGCTTGATCTCATCCCTCCTTGATGAGGTCATCTGGAGGGATACAGGTTGCAGAAGACCACCAAATATATATCCTGAATCAAGCCCCATAAGCCAGAGACCTCAAATTCGACAGCAGTCCACCTTCCATGCACGCCCCCCACACCCACCGCTTGCCTTTGGTTAAGCAGAAGCCATGTCTCCCTGCCACACCTTACCTTCTGCACACCGGCAGACATCACCATGGCATATCTTACTGAGGAGGCCACTTCCTTTCTCTGGATGGTAGAATTTGACGCACTGCTCATCTGGAGGGAATGAGAAGAGATGCACCATTTCACACTGCAATTTGCTGATCTAATTCCTCAGGAGGAAAGCCTTCAGAAGTGCACAATGCAGGGGTGCTTGACCTCTTGTCCCAGGGAGAATACCGTTTACTAGTGGCACAGCACCCTGACTTTTTGCAGTGCAAACTCTTCAGGAGGACTGGTGGGCTGGCTGAACAAGCTTCTTCAAGCCGTCATGGGAGAAGAGAAAGTAACACCAGCAATCCCCACAGAAGGTTGGCTATTTTGTCAAAGGGCCGCTCTCCCTTCCGAGCAATGGGGTTAGGGGCTGGAAGTGCATTTTGCAGCACAAAAAGCTGCAGCTGGACTCCACAAGAGAGATGGTGCCATCCAGCATCAAGGGCCTCACAAGTGGAGAGAAGTTGCTGTGCTTCAGCATAGCCGGGCCATTCCATATAGAATCCAGAAGCAACATCAGAAATGGGGAAATGTCATGCTGGGGAAATATTCTCATCATGCCCTGATTTATTTTGAGAGAGCCTCCCAGTGGCCACATAAAATTGTTGGGTGGGGGGCAAATTGAGCCTCCAAACTATGCGCTGACCCCCTCTGGCCCATGAAGCTATGAGGAATGTTGGGAATGCACCTATCCAATTAAGCACTGCAGCTGCTCAGCTTGGCAAAAGCCTTGGGCTGACCCATCCTACAAAACAAAAAACATCTGGAAACCCAATGATGTTTTGCAAAGCGAAAACTTCAGGCTGTTTGGCTGGCCCCTCCTGTGCTGAGACCACCAGAAGAGCTACAGTTGTCATTACCTAGATTGTAATAGCTGTACACCCGGACTGATGCTGGCTGAATGAGACCAACAGAGAAATACTGGTAAGCTTTAAACTCCAGGCATTCATCCTCCCTGTGAGAGACCTGTGTGGGAAGAGAAAACAGGAAATAAGTATTCGCATGCTAGAAGCTGCTCTTCCTCACAGACTGAGCCAGCCATCTTGAGGCAAGCTCTCTGCCTGCAGTTCAGAATGGCTGTCAGGGTTGGCAGGTATCCAAGGGTGGCAGAACAAGGCAGAACAAGAATGATGTACGCATGGAAATACCCCACAGATGAAGGTGGTATGCCCAGAAAGGCTTGGCGGCAGCCTGTCGGGCTTAATGGCCCTGCAGTGGACATGGCACTCCTGCCATGCACCATTATGGTCCACCAAATGCTTGGAAAGCGTCGTGATTTCCCACCAGATTGGGAGATGGCGCTGTGGTTTCCATGCACCAGGTAACCTACAATCCCGTGTTAGATATTCTTAATCCAGAACACAGAAGACATGTTGTTGTACATCTAAGCTAGGCCTAAGTGGGACCCTCCCATGTTTAAGGGTTTTATGGGAAGGCAATTCTACCAACTGTGCCTTCTCCTTCCACTGCATCTCTCTGACAGGAACAGCAGCTGGTCGGAGTCTCAGTTCTGAGCCTCTCTTAAAAGACATGCCTGGCTACTCAGGGCGTTGGCCTTGACCAAGGAAACCTGGGCTCAGCGCCCATCTCAGACAGGAGCTTGCTGGGCAGCATGAAGCAACTGACTTGCCCCTGAGCCTGAGCTACCTCACAAGGCGAAGTGCAACCTTGTGTATAAGCCTGATACAGGGCACAGATGGCTCAGGAAGTTCGAATGTGTCTTCTGGCAGCTGAAGATGAGATACTTTTGTCTCACACTTACACACTCATCCCACTTTTCCCTGACGTACCCCCATGCTGACCTAGCTGCCTTTACTTCAACCAAGCCAAACATTCCACAGAACTCCTCCACAAGTCTTTACCTTGTCCAGGTAAATGATGACATTCCCTCTTTCTGATACGACGTTATCAATTTCAAACTTGGAGATGTATCTGTCCACTCCCTCAGATAGCTAAAGAGTGAAAAAACAAGAGACATGGTTGTCACCAGGACTTGTAGGTGATCCCAATAAGTCATCCTTCAGATCTAGAGCTGCCTCTATAATTCCTCTATTTTGACATTTTAAAAAATCTACTTAGAGTTTTTATAAGATTAGAGAAATTTGTCAGGGAATTTCTGTTCATCTCAGGGTACTCATAAGCAGTTGAAAACATTTTAGGGCCATCAAAATAGGAATCTCAAACTTTCTTGGAGGGATCTAGTACATTAGTAACCACATCTCTAAATCAATTGTTCATGACATCTGACCATATGTTTATTCTGTTCTCATCAAAGCTAATAGCTCCCTGCTTGGACACATGGACTAGCATGGCTACATTTTCATTTGGGCAGCTATGGAACATGAGGCAGGGGTCAAAGCTAAGTTACAGGAGACTGAAGACAGGAGTCGGATGAATTGTGGTTTCCACCTTTTGCATTTCATAATGAACAAGGACCAGCCAGGATATTTTGGCAGCAACAGTGCATGTTTATTTCAAACAGTTTTGGGTGCAGGGGAACTACTGGGCAGTTTGTGCTTCATCCAAGTCAAATCTCCCTGTCATTTGGCTGACCTTGCTTGCTAAACATGCAGTGCTACCTCTCCCTCTTGCATCAAATCTCTCCTTAGACTCCCACCAGAAAAGTTGAACTCAGCTAGGAAGATTGTCCTGAATAAGGTCACCATGCAGGTGCAGAGCCCATATATGTGATGCGCAGAGACCATGAAGAATATCCTTCCACATGATCTTTAGTTTAGCCCACAGTCCTTATTTCCAAGAATAACTATGTTCCGACTGCATCTAACTGCTTTTACCCCAATCCATCCACCCCTATCCTTATCTTCCTTTTCCTCTCCTTGCTGTTTTTCCTGCTGCACATCTCTCACTGTGCATTCTGTGGGGGCAGAGACCTCACTATTATTGTTAGACAAGGAGGGTTCCACGTACAACAATGACATTATAAAATAAAGAACTATGAGGTTCCAGTTTTGGCAGGGTGCACTGCTTGCCTACAAGGAAGTTGCTGGAAACAGCTGTCCACTGTTATCTTCAGGTCACTAAGCTGTGTCACAAGCTTAGTGACACAGCTTAGTGAATTGGAGACATGAATTGGAGACATTCAACTGCTGAATGTATAGTCCAATATTTCTGCAGACCTAACTGTATAGCCAAGAACTTTTCATTAGCTGTGATGATTTTTTAAAGTCCAATTTCCTCAAAGGGCAATTAAGCAGTTATTTCTGGCACCAAGCAAAGTTCACCTACCCTCTTAAGGTCGCCAGTATCAGGTGCAAAGCCAGTGAGCATGGAAACATCAATGATGGTCATGGTGGCATCAACTTTATCATCAAGATACCTACAATCAGGGGGAGAGGGAAAATGACCCACAAACAGATTGCATAGCTCAGAAATGGTCATGGCTTAAGTTCTGCCAACTTAGTTTTGCATATTTTCAAAGTGTTCCACCTAAAAATGAGAAAAGTAAGGGGTGCCTATAACGTCACCAAGGTATCAGTCCTATGCCTCAGAGTGCTTTTGTGAAAGTATAAAATTTGTGAATTGCTTTGTGGAGACTTAGTTGGGGTAAGATGAAGAAGGCCCTCAAAATAGAAGAGTAGACAGTTGGCCTGATGCACTGTGGTGGAGCATGGATCTGACTTGGAAAGCAGGTAGAGGCATGAGTGCTTGGTTTGCTCTTATATGCAAATTTTAGATGTGGGATCAATCCACGGATGAAGAACCTGCTGTGACTTAGAATCTTGTGTCGGTCTCTCATTTTTACCCTCCACCAGCACACTGGAGGCTAGAACCCTCCAGTCAAAAGAGAAAAAATCCTGCATACGAAACACAACACTACAAGCCATGCTGCAGGACATGGTGTGCAGAGTGGCTTGCTCACTCCAAGGTTCAAGATGTGCCAAGCAGGTAATTGGGCACATTGTGGTTCTGAAGCCACTTCTCCCCTCTCAGTCCTCCCTGCTCCTCTCTGCCAGGATCTGAATCAGGCTTTGCTTGGCCTCTTCCAGCAGAAGCCAAGCAGAACAAGCCCCGCTCCTGGAGCAGCAGGCGGGGCACAGCCGCTTTCTGTTTGGCCTCCTCTAGAGGCCTTGGGGGACAGCGCAGCACAGGGTGACAAATGAGCTATTGATCAGCACATGGTTCATCCCCCCCCGCCCCCCACACACACCCCATGGTGGTGCAGGGCATATTCTGCTCAGCCTCCTTGGAGGAGATCCAATATAATGTGGCTCACCTCATCCCTGCATGGTGTGGCAACCACTTGAATAATGGCAGGCAATTGTTCGCAAGCAGCCCTCTCTGCATGCTCTCTGTTGTCCCCACCAGCTGTTTTGGGTCAGCAGAAGCAGGGAAAGTCTTCTATTCGGTTGCCCCCATGGCCCAGTCTTTCAGCTCAGTGGCAGGTGGCACCCATCACCACTGCCCTCCTGTGAACAGGGTGAAGGGATGGGCACGCCTCCATTTCTGCCCCCACAGCACTGGTCTCAAAGGGCAGTGGGGCAAAACCTCAGTGTAATTCCTGCAGTGTCTCCTAGGATACCAGCAGGAGGACTGAGGTGGGAGAAAGCAGGGGAGATGGCTCCAGAGCCACCATGGCCCCATCTTCTGTCAGGTTAATCATGGGCCTGAGGGCAGCCTGGCTGGTTGTGCTGTGCAGGCCCACCCACTGAGAACAGGTGATTGTTTAGACCCATCAGGAGAAACACATCAGGAGAAACTGCTTGACTTCAATGTTGCAATTTGTCTTCTGATGCTTTCCTTTCCCAGCTCTGTGAACAGGGTATACTCACCCGCTCAGAAACTCAGAATCAGACTATCTCAAACTACTGAAAACAGAGAAACCTTTGGAACATGATAAGCCATTTCTTTCAGAGCAACATTTTCTGCTTCTCCCCTCCTCACCTGGTACAGATTCTGATTGAGACTGCTCCCTTGGATCCCTTTGCCTCCTTTTCTGCTAGAAATTGTAAGACAAATGAAAAAACATTAAGTTTCTTTGTACAACTTTCATGCAAAATTGCCATCTGTCCAGTCTGGCAGTGCCTCATATGGACATCCAAGAATTGTTGCTGTCTGTATCATATTTCTTGTCCTGTTGCATGAAAAGATGAAAGAATTTTCAGCAGGGACAGGTGACTGGAGGGGAGTTGATTGCCAGCTGACCAACTTACTCAGCCCTTTTCAGACTGAATGACAGCTGGAAATCTCCATGGGCCAGAAAAGGCCTTGGGCTAGAGGTTCCCTTCCAGTGATGTGAAGGATGATTCTGGCATTAAAATGTACACTGTCTTTTCAGGATGTCAGCCCAACTCACTTCTTCAATTTTGAACTTTTTTCATTTTCTTCCCCCCTCCCCTTCTCAGCCTAGTTTTTAAATTTGCATCATTATAAGCATACTGCGATCCACCAAGCTAGTGATAATTTTGTTAAACAGAAGATAAACAAGGCCTTTTCATAACTGGGTTGCAAGATACTTTGCCATTTCTGTTAGTAAACCACATCAAATGTGGTAGGATGCAAGCACAGGTACAAATGGTCTTTAAAAAAAATCTTAGCCCATAATTCTGCAGGGAAGAACATATAAACGAGAAGCACACATGAAAAGATTTGTTCCAAAGTCCTGAAGGAGAAATTTGAAGTGAAAATATCAGGAATACTAGTGCATGCATCTTGTCCTACACAGGTGTCCGCAAACCTGGTCTACAAAGATCATTGGCCAGACTGGCTAGGACATACTGACATGAACTTCAAATAAAAGTTTAAAAGGGATTGCTGCTAATTTTCAGAATTTGTGCAGCAGTAAAACTAGAAAGCAAAATCTATCCCTTTCATTCCAGAGCCTGTAGTTCTTAGCAAAAGTAAGCCTACCACATAGACTTACACAGGTTGAGAATTTTAACAGTAACATCAAGATTGAATTTCTTGCACCGAGATGCATCCTCCCGGAGTTTTTCATGGTACTCTGTCACAACAGTCATTGTGGCTTTTCCTTGGCCTGAGGCTTGCACAGTGAAACCATCATTGAGCTTGGTCTGAAAAGCAATGAAAGTTGGCATGAACTTGGATTATATTGATTTGTTATATTGTATTCATTATTATTACTACTCAAAGATGCATCCATTACTAAAATTGTAGGAAGCTAGAATAGAAAGCACATGGTCTTCGATGTCTATATACGAATGCTCAGAGTATGGAAAACAAACAGCATGAACTTGAACTGTTCATACAGGGAGGTGAATATGACTTGGTAGGTAGAACTGAAACTTGGTGAGATGACTTCCATGACTGGAATTCAACCATTGAAGGATATAACCTGTTCAAGAAGAACAGAAGGAACAGAATGGGAGGCAGAGTCACACTCTATTTTAAAGATACGCATCTCTGCATAGAAAGAAAGGAGGATGAACTTATTAGTCCCATTGAGAGCACCTGGATTAATATAAATGGAACAAGGAATAAAAGAAGCAAGGTACTTGGAGTCTACTACCAACCACCGAGTCAAGGAGAAGAGGAGGATGACACTTCTGAAAAGCAAATTGCTTTTCAAAATTACTCAAGAAGACACGATGTTGTAGTTATGGGAGACTTCAATTTCCCTGATATCCACTGGGAGACAAATTCTGCTAAACATGGCCCCTCCAAGAGATTCCTAACTTTTGTTCATAACTTTCTCCAACAGAAAGTGGAAGAAGGAACAAGAACGGCTATCCTTGACTTGATACAGACCAACAGTGGTCCTAGTGGACAGAGTGGCAGCTACATGAACTCTGAGGGAAGGTAACCATGCCATACTTGAATTCCTGATTCTAAAGGAAGCAAAAGCCAAGTATAGCCAAACATGTACCATGGACTCAAAGAAAGCCAATTTTAATAAATTCAGAACAATGATAAGCAAAGTCCTATGGCAAGTGACTCTAATGGGTGGAAATGTTTAAAAAAGGAAATCCTGCTCAAACAATTCCAACAAGGAACAAGGACTGAAGATATCAGAAGAAAGCCATGTGGTTTCATAAAAAGCTTAGAGATGATCTGAAAAAAATATGTATAGGAGGTAGAAGGAAGACCAGGCTACAAAGGAAGAATACAGGCAAGTAGCACAAAATTGTAGGGGTGGCATCCAAAAGGTTAATGCTAGGAATGTACTGAGGCTAGCGAGGGATGCTAAAAGCAACAAAAAACCTTCTTCAGATATGTCCATAGTAAAAGACAGAGGAAAGAAATGGGGGTTCAACTACTCAATGGGGATGGAAAAATGCTAAAAGATGACAAAGAAAAGGCAGAACTGTTCAGTTCCTACCATGGCTCAGTCTTCTCCCAAAAGACCTTTGTGACAAAGGGGAAGTACAAGCTGAAGAGGTGTGATGTCAGCTTGAAATTAATAGGCAAATGGTCAAGCATCTAATTAGGCTGAATGAGTTCAAATCTCCAGGGCCCATGAACTCCATTTGGAATAATAAAGGAGCTCGCAGAAGAACTCTCAGAACCACTATTATCTTTGATTACTAGAAGCCAAAACGGATTTGTCAAGAACAAATCCTGCCAAACTAATCTGATCTCCTTTTATGATTGGTTAGTCTCCCTGGTGGACCATGGGAATGCTGTAGACATAGTATATTTTAACTTCAACAAAGCTTTTGACAACACGCCCCATGATGTCTTGGTTAGCAAACTAGCTAAAAGTGGGCTAGATGGAACAACTATCAAGTGGATCCACAGTTGGCTACAGCATCTGACTCAAAGAATGCTCATCAATTGTACCTCTAAATCTAGGGTGTGGTAAAAAGTGGTATACCACAGAACACAGTTCTTGGACCAGTGACTTTCAACATTTTTATTAATAACTTGGATGAGGAAGTGTAAGGAACATTTATCAGATCTACAGATGACACAAAATTGGATGGGATAGTGAATACCTTGGAAGACAGAAACAAGATTCAATATGAACTTTATAGATTGGAATGCTGGGCTGAAAACAGCAGAATGAAATTTAATATGGACCAATGCCAAATTCTACACCTAGGAAAAAGAAACCAAATTCATCATTATAAGGTAGGAGATACTTGGTTCAACAATATGGCAAGTAAGAAGGATCATGGAATTGTTGTATATCAAAAGCTGGATATGAGTCAACATTGTGATGTGGCTACAAATGTTATTTTAGGTTGCACAAGTGTCACTTCCAATTCATATGAAGTACTAGTTCCCCTTTACTCAGCACTGATTAGGCCTCATCTGGAGTTCTGTATCTAGTTCTGAGCACCACAGTTTAAGAAAGATGCAGACAAGCTGGAAAGGTTTCAGAGGAGGGCAGCAAGGATGATCTGCTAGCTGGAAACAAAGCCCTATGAGGAGAAATTGAAAGAGCTGCACATGTTTAGCCTTGAGAAGACTGAGGGGAGATAAGATTGCACTTTTCATGTACTTGAAAGGTGATCATAAAAAGGAAGGATGGGATCTCTTTTTGATCATCCCGGAGTGCAGGACATGGACTAACAGGCTCAAGTCACAAGAAGCCAGGTTCTGCCTCAACACTGGGAAGAACCTTGACTGTTAGAGCAGTACAACACTGGAACCGATTACCTAGAGAGGTCATGGTCTCTCCCACACTGGATGCATCCAAGATGCAATTAGACAGCCATCTGTAAGGGACCCTTTATGTGGAGTCCTGCACTGAGCAGGGAGTTGGACCTGATGGCCCTCTTGGCCCTTTCCAACTCTACTATTCTATGCTTTTATGAAACCTATACAGTAAAAAAAACTAAATACATGTTGTACCATGTGTATGGTAAAATGGAAGTAGATTACCATGGAAGCAACAAGACAACATCAAGCAGAAAATACTCCTTTCTTCCACATCTGAAGATACAGACCACTAGAGTCTTCCCCAGGGATCTAAAGATATGTTTGGACTTTGCATTTTAAACCTGCCATTACATTTTATGTTTTGTTTAGATATGTATAATTTTACACCTGAACCTGCTGTGAAAGTACACTCAAGTCACCATATTGTAAAAGGCAGTACAATCTTCTCTGTGCAGGTATGCTCCAAGGGCATGCCTATAGAATGGCTTCCTGTATCTTCATCTCCCCAAATTCAGTCACATGAAGCAGCCCGATGTGGTAAACTGTCCTTTCCTTGCTTCAGGAAAGGCTAAATTTTTGTCTGTGACTATCACAAGCTCTTTTTACCAGTCCACACGTAAATATAGATGCATCAGAATACACCAGAAGGTACCCCTGTGATCTCTGTGCCTTCACCTCTGATTTGTACGCATACCAGCTATACATGCATAACTCCTCCAATCTCTGGGGTAGCAGACCACCTGTACAGAGTCCACATAAAGACTTCCAAATAGCAGAAGGTGCATGCAAGTGTGCAGTGCAGAACTTCCACCCACACCTTACCTCTCCCACAGGCTGCTCCCAAAGTACTTTCCCCACCTCAGCTAAGTTTTTCCAGCTGGAGAAAAGGGTGTGTTATAAGTAATGGACAGAAGGATAACTTTTGTACTCTTCACCCCTTTGCTATTAAAATCAGACTACCACACACACACAGTCACACACAGTATGTGACTGCAGCAGAGCCATATTTAAATTCACACACATCTAATCTGGCCCTGAGCCAAACTGCAAACCAAGTGCATCAGAAATAGCACCAGTGCCAGAGTGCCTCCTCAGTCTGTAGCATCACCCACACTTGATCTTTGCCATAAAGCTGATTAGAAATCTGGACACAAAGTAATAAGAAACTATTTTCAGAGTGGTAAATAGTAAGCAAACTTGTTCAGAGAAGTGCTGTACCTCTGTTGTTCGAGACAGAAGGGCACGCTCGTAGTCAATCCTGAAACGAACTGGCTCTGCACGTTCTGGCAATTTAATAGAAACATCCAAGTTCAGGTCTTTATGAGTGGGGACGTTCATTTCATATTCTGCAAGAGCTTGGAACACCATGATGGTTGCCTGGGAGGCAGGGAAGGGAGATGCAGTAAGTTAGCACACTTGGAAGTAGATGCCCAGAGGGGAACTTCTCCACTCGAAAGGGCAGGGTATCTGGTGACAGAGATTACCAGAGAACTGGAGCAGGCTCAGAGCAGCTTCAGATTCCAGCCAGCAGGCACGCTTCAGGAAAGCATCAGCCTGCACCTGCGCTCAATGCAACAAGCGTGTACCTGCTTCCTTAAGCACCCACACCTTTCTGTCTTGGGGACCAGTCCCAGCATGATCTGGGAGGTCTGGAAAGAAGTCCTCCCACAGTTTCTTTAAAACAAGAGGCAACCTGCAGGTATGGGAGCCCTTGCCTCAGGTTGAAACTTTGCCACTGAGCAAAGGCACCATTAGCTCCGTGGGTGAAAACACTCCTCTATAGGAGCAGGGGAGGAAAGACCCCTCCCATCCCTTCTCTGCTGCAAAGACTCTCTCAAAGGCGCCTTGCAACGGGGAAGTTAACATTTCAGTGGTGCTGTGCTACTGAGGGATGGCCCTAGTTAGGTGTGGTTCTGCTGGGGGCTAACCAGGGCCTGGCTGTACCCTCTGAGACTAACCAATGTTAGCACACAGGGCAAAAGGCCCTGTTGGAACACCTTTCCCTGAAGGCTAGCCGTGCATCTGCAGGCATCTTTATGTGCAGGAACTTTCCACCGTGGGAGTCCTCGCCTGCAGACTGAAGCGGCACAGCCACACATCTCCCCCTCGAGCCAGATAAGGCAAGGGTGCAGGCTGCCATTTGCTTTAGAGCACCCCAGCCTGCACTGCATTTCAGCAGCCAGTGCCCCAAGGTGGGAGTCAAAGGCCAGGGAGACAAATCCTCACCTGAGTCTGTCCGTATGTCCCCCCATAATACTTCTGCTGTACCAGCCATCTGACAACGGGACCAGCAGTATCAAACAACCTTAATTTCAGCAAGGCCAGCAAGGCATAGGAGGTGCCTTCCAGGTTGTAGGTGCGAGCGTTGTATTCTTCCCAGCGGTTCCGACCTAAAGGTCAGCAGAGAACAGATCCTGCCTGAACCGTTCTTGAGGCAGATGGGCTCATTATCACACGCAGCTGCCGGATTCCTGCCAGTTTCCCCTCTGTCCCTCCCACTCCGTGACCAGAACTGAGGACTGAGAAGCTGCTGGGGTGCTGGGGAACACTCATGAGCACATGTCCAACAGCTCTGCGGGAGGATAAATGAAGCACAGAATCAGGGGGAAGCGTGCTGACCGTGGCACCCAATTCCAGCCAGAGGCCACCTAATGTGGAAGGCAGGAGACAGAAGGCCAGGGCAATTTTCCTCTCTGGCCACTTCCAGGCCCCACCACACCTTCCCTTTCTTCTGAGCAGCAGGTGGCTGGGAGGGCGAAGCTTGTGTGAAGCTGAGACGCACTTCAGACAGAGTCCTTGGCCCTGCCGATGAGCCTCCCAAATTTGCACAGGCAGCTGGTGGGCTCCAAAGCTCTGTTGTGTTCTGCTTCCAGCTCAGCTGGTGTGGCTGCTTTGAACTAGGACAGCCCAGCATAGGCTGGCTTGTGTTATCACCAGTGCACAGAGAGCGAGCAGAGCAGCCAAGGAGAGCGGGGTCCTTCAAGGGCTGTGGCATGGTCAGAGTGCAGCCCAGGCTCTTGCTTTGCCTGAGATCTGCACTTGCCACTGTGTCCTCCACCTCATAATTTGAAATGCCCAATGCTTTTTTCTCCTTGGCAATTTGAGATTTATGCATCCACCTCCTCAACAGCACTGGAAGCAGTGAGAGGAAAGGGCATCAATGTTCTTTCTCTAGGCTAGTCTCACTTCATTCTGCTCCTTCAAACTGCCAGCCTTCAAACCCAACCATATGTGATGCAATGCACAAATGTACCTGTTGATGCTGCCATAAGTACTCTGTCATCCTTCAGCTGCCCTGCTAGGACCAAAGCATAGGCCGTGAGAGCCGTGGTGTATGGTCTTTGCAGTGTGTCATACTTCCTGGATAAGAAGGCAGTTGCTTTGTTGATGGCACCGGGTAGGCTCTGGATTTAAAAGGGAGGGGGAAAGCCAAAGTATCTGTTAAGAGTGTTTGAAGATCAATTTGCAGCTATTCCTTTTTTGATGTGGTGAGAGGGTTAGGCAAGGTGTCAGCATGTGGGCCCCATCCTCCATGTCCCCATGCATACTAAGCCTGATCCCTCCATTCCAAGCTTGCCAGTTGGAGCAGCAAGGTCTGAGCAGGGTGCTTCCTTGAACTCAAGAGAACATCTCATAGAATCCGGTAACCTGGTGCAGCAGGTAAACACAGTATACAAAGCACTGCTGTTGGGCTAAAAGCAAGTAGAAGCCCACTCACGTGTTCCAGCAAGCCACATTTTAAATAGCAGAGGGATGTGCAAAAGGGTCACACCAGATGCTCATAACCAACGGGCACATCCATGTAGGAGGAAACAGTCCTTCAGGAATTGTGGCCCTTAGCTTGTTTAAGGCTTTAAAGTAACTGCAGGCCAAAATACCCCCCTCTTGTCTTGCAACCTCATATGTTGAAAATGAAATGAAAGAGACTTTCTAGGGGTGGGTGGGGTCAACTTACTCCTGGACACACTGCACATTTCTCCATAGCTGCCAGATTGTGACTGCCAATTTTCCTTGCCCAGTGTTGCCCAAGACTTTGTGTAGCCATTAGAATGACACTACATCCTGGAAGAATGTGAACTATGATGGGCTCCATCACCAAAACGAAAGAGAAAACAGGCCCCACACTGCCCTTGCCATAAGCCTCTGTCCAAATATTTTGGCCATGTTTGTCCCCCACCACACACACACCAAATTCACTCATCCATTTCAGCTCTGGTTGGGCTGCTGTTAGGTCCTAAAAGGTTTTTTAATGCTAAATGGAATAATCCCTCTGTGTCCTTCTTGACAGAGGCCTATCCTCTATTTGACTGTCCTCTTTTTGCAGATGTTCTATATGAGAAGGGCTATCTGGTAATTCTAGCTGAAAGATACAGAAGTCTGAGAAGAGAGAGCAAGCAGGACCCTTAAAGCAGTAATGAGAATTTCTGGAGGGTGAGCGGGGACACATGCTGTGCGGCCACAGTTTTCATCATTATGGTGAGATCTCTATTGTCTATATTTCCATTTCAACTACACTCATTATTTCTAAATTGGCATTTGTATCTACTAAGCATGATAGCAACTTTTGTGCATATCTAGGCTGGCCCTTGGATAGCCAGGCTGATTTTTACTTGGCTTCAGCTTGCCAGTCCCAATGACAACTTCTTGGCCTTCACTACCAGTGGGCTAAAAATGATTTCTTGTCTAAGGCTGAATGGCAATATATGCAATTGAAACATGTGTTAGAAGCTAGGTCTGACCTTCTTGTGTCCTTTTTGGGGTGATTAATTTGCTTTTTTTTGGTCTTGTATAAGTGGCTACCTCAAAACTGAGGTTGGGCAGTGAGGATCAAAAACTGAACTATGCAAAAAAGAGTTAGGACGGTTATAGTATTTTAAGAGGTCACATTATCTCATCAGGGGTACTTACATTGACTTGATCTTTGCAGATCTCTTTGGATTCCAGCAATGCAACCAGGACGAATGCTGTTAATGAGACCTCTGGCTCAGCACCTTTATAGCCTCCCTAGAAGGAAGCAGAAGAGAGAGACTAATAGGTACTTAATGTATTATTATATAATGCTAAAGCCTCCCAAACAGTCACAAGGAAGGTGCTGCAAGAGGGACAGCAGTTTGAAAAAAGGAAGCCTGAGCTTAGCAGAAAATTAAAAAGTAAAAACAAACAAACAAGGGCTTCAAAGAGTTAAACAACATTTTTTAAAATAAGGGATTTTGGGGTGGAGCAGCACATCCTGTGGACTTACAGTCAGGTTTCCAACAAACAAAAACTAGAGGTACTTCCAGGAAAGAGGCTCCTGGCACTATCCTCCAAAAAGCACTGTACAGCTATCTCCTTCATGGATTTTCTGTGGTAAGAAATAGAAGCAGCTATGGGAAGAAATGGGCATGCTATAAATGGAATGGATTGTCTGGATCCCCCTCTAAAACTCAGTAAATGAGGCAGAACAAGTACATGACAGAACCCTTCTTTAGGGGCGACCTAGCTGTCTATGTCACAAGAATACCAAGCTTGGTCTTCAGTGAAGGAAGCTGGCTGGACAGCTCCATAGCTTGCCGACTCCTCCAGGTAAAACAAATTCATTGTCTAGCCACTTGGGACCAGACCTGGTGACAGGAAGGGCAGGGACATGTCATTCAAAGGAAAGCTCCTTTGTGAAGCTCCTTTGTGACGTATGTGCATCTGCAGAAAAAAGCAAGGGAGGCAGGTGCCCCCCCCCTAAGTTGAGCCATGATTTCCAGCTTTCATTAAAGCAGAACAAGAAGGTCTTTAGCCTTACAAAAAACAGAATATGAGGCAAATGTGTGCCAGTGTTCTGCCCATTTGTTTTGTGAGAAACTAGCCAGCTCCTCTCTTTCAATGTTTTAGCCAATTACTGGAGTCATAGCAATGGTTAACACACCCACTTTTTGGAGACTTCCTTGTCAGAAAGTAATTTTCAGTTTCATTTAAAAATAAACCAATTTAGAGATCTTGAAGCTTAGTTTAGTTGAGATTGGGCAGTAATGTGTCTACCAAAAAACCCAAAATGAAACAGTAAAACAGCTCCTGAAATAATAAAGGTGCTGTTAACGTTTCTTTTTAAATCTGAGGGTTTTTCTACATGAGACAACATGTAGGGTGCTGGGTTCAGACAACAGGCTAAGCCACCATGGCCAGTGAACCCAGTCAGTACATCACATAGCAGCAACAGTAGTGTATTCCATTTGTGAGTCCCTTTGAAACATCTGGCTGGCAACTATCCTTACAGACTGGGCCATGACCACCTGGCTACAACAGAATACAGTGCAGCTATTCATTCTGGAAAATTCCTGGATTTAATTCAATTTAACCACCACTGATTACAGAAAGAATGCATACCACCATCTCTCCATGGATCACAGGGGCCTCTTCATGGAAAATCCCATCTGGTTTTTGCCTTTCCAGAACCAACCACTTCACACCTCCACAAATGATATCACGATTAACAGTATTTACAATTCTGGAAGCCATGGAAAAGACCTTCACAATATATGCTGTTAGCCTGCAAAAAAATTCAGTTGATCAGTCCAAGCATCGTCAATTGTCCATCTGACCTTGTGAGACAATTGTTTATCATCATCATTCAAAGTAATAAAACACTGTGCATAAAACAAAACAAAACAAATCCAAAGCTTCCCCTCCTGCTTACAACTGAAAGCACCACATGCAAGGAAACAGAAAAGGTCCAGCTTGAGTAAGCCAATATGAAGAGAAATGTTTTTTCCTAGCATTGAAACATGGTCATGGAAGAGCCAGGAGAGTGCCAGAAGATCATGAGCTCTAATGAGAGGGATCAGCAAGGCAGAAGGGGCATGGTTGGCAAAAGAGATGAGCATACCAAAGAAGCAACAAGAGTAGAAGTGAATGACAAGAGAGAAGAGTTAGCTAGACAAGTGGGAGATGGAAAACAGTATCTGAAAGATAATAAATAGGCTAGTAGAGAAAAGATGCTGGAAAATCCACCAGTGATTCAAAGATGATATGACAGCACCGCTGTCCTTACCAGGTGCTAGCCTTGCGGCCCGTAAATGCAGCATAAGAGTGGTCTGCTTTCTTGTATACCAACTGCTGGGTGTAACCTGAAAAGGAAGGAAGAGAAAAAGAGCTGTTTAACAACATGCATGCATGCAGGCAAGTAGATTCTGAAGGACTCATCCTACATACAAAGACAACTTGTATTTTTACCTTTTACCTCCTTTTACCACACTGTCTCATCTCTGTGGCTCTTCCTTTGCACATTTACTTAGTTTTGTATTATTTTCATATTTCCTTTCTGGTTCTCTCAGCATGGCAATTCCATTCTGCCTGACAGCTCAGGCTGCACCAGTTGAGGTACTGAAGGCAGTTCTGATGCTCTGCCCATCAAAGAGCTCAACAAAAAGGGGACTGGGATGCAGCATCAGAAAGAAGCATCTACCACTGTTTTGAGCCTTTATTCCTACACTTTGAGGTTTCAATCTTGGGATCCCTAAATTTTTGAAAAAAAGAGGAAAATTTTCTTCATGGTAGAAGAATATTCTGATAATTAACTTAAGCAGGGTTTGGGATTTCTCAGATCATCTCCACTAGGCAAATGCCCTCCCTGCAAGAAAATGAGCTGCTGCAACCAGTCTGGAATGTTCTAATATCCTTGACCTGGGAGGGTCATAACCTAAGCCAGACTATGGCTAAATGAATCTAAACTCTACTGACAAACTTTTTCATCAGCTGGAAGTAGAACAAATCCAGGAAATCTTCCTTGCTTTACCTTGCATGATCTGGTTGACTGCAACAGATCTGCGATCCACTCCAATCTTCTCCCACTGCCCTGTGGCGTCAAGATAGATGGTGGCGATAACTGAGGGTGTCATAGTGATCATGTTCTGCTCCCCACAGCCAGAAGGGGTTATGATAAGATGGTTCAGTTTGGTCCCATCAATCGAATCCTCAATAATCTGAGCCACGGGGTCTCCTGGACACAAAAATGATAATAATGCATTAATTCAAGCATGTAGAAAGCTGCGTGGGTAGTGAGCTTGCTAAGCATCAATAGCTCTCTGCAGGAGTGCCTCACCCTTCCAATAACATTTGCTTTCCCTTCCTATCATTCCTCTGGGGCAACAGGCACTGGTATGCACCTGGATCCTGGGTTAAGAATGAATACTGACTCTTAAATCCTGGGTTAAGAATGAATTCTGACAGTCAAATTTGTATGTAAATCATCACATATATATAAAAAGCATGTAAGAGATACTTCTGTATACACTAAAGCATCTTAAACACAATACAGCATTTTAATAATGATAATAATACAGTAATAATAAAGTAACTACGGTACTGGAGAGAGAGAGAAAATCTGTATATATGTGTGTAGGTATACAATACAGCTTTTAACAGAGTCTAGATAGAAAGATAGCAAGTTAGAAAAAATAGTAAAAAGATCGTTAAAAGTTAACACTTCTTGAGCTACCATTAAGCCAAACATTAACTGGGTGACGATGGGGATGGGACTCCTTTATCCTTCAAATGTGCCCTGATTGTCACTAACTCCATGTAACTAATTCTGACGTGGTTGCTTGCTGCTTTTTCCCTTCTCCTTCCCTTTCCCCCACTCATCTTCTCTTCCTTCCTCGCCTCGCCACCCAACACTTGCTGACCACCGCCCACGGAGGCCTGCACACCACCTGCTGCCTGCCATCCATGGGTGCCCACTTTCTGCTCGAGGAGGAGGTGGGACTTTCAGGTTTGCTCATTCGTAAGTAGGGCTTGTTCTTAACTCTGACATTTGTTAAGAATGGGTGACTGGATGCAATTAGACTTCAGGTCTAATTCAGCCATTATTTTGGTTTAAGTCTTCAAACAGGATGGGGCCAGATTATCCATGGAAAAGTTCTGGCCAACCTTCACATTCCCTGGGATCAGCTGAGAAGGCTACTCAATGTCAAGAAACCCAGCGGTTGGGCCTTCCCAGGTACAGCAGAGAATTTTGTTGAGGGTAAAGGTGCACACCACTTCCTCAGGGGGAAGATCACCAGTGCCTTACTCAGCGTCCTCCCAACCAAGGGAGGCCAGTCTGCCATTTTCATCTGCCCCAGAGGATGAGTCCCTCCCTCTTTCCAAAAAAGTCAAGTGAGAGCTCTCCTGTAGGAAGGGCAGAGTTAATCACACTGCAGATCTTGTTAGCCTTTGTTCATGCTAGTTCCCTATTGAGACAGTATCCCCCTGTTGTAGTAATTAGAGGAGATCTGTAAAGAACAAAATCCATTTGGAATTATCTGTGTTCCTACTTTCTTCCTGCCTTGCTCTGAGTGCCCTCCACTTCTTTAAGTTTCCACTGTAAGCTTCAGGAAGTGCTGTATGTTCTATCTAGTTAGGATGGAAGCACATGGAATGCATTCCTTGTGCTGGCCATTTGCAGCAAGGTTTGGGTTGAATGGGATTTTGGTTCTGGCTAGTTCTACAGCCCCAGAGTTCTTTTCTTTAAGTAACTTGTTCTTACCTTGGACAGTGATCTTGGTGTCAGGTTCTGTGTCAGGAACCATATTTTCTAATAATTTAGCATCAACTTTCTGTTGCTGGACTCCATCTGAATAAGAAGGAAAATTGCAAAGAAACAAACCTGGTTATTTCTACATTAAAACTCTTTAGTGCTGCTTTGGCATGGCTCTTTTACAAAAGACAATCAGTAGAATTAAATAAAGATTCCATACAAGAATTTAATTCAAAATAAATGTGATCACCACACATTGCATTCAATGAGCATAGAAAGTGTGGATACATATTTTCCTTTGTGCGTGCACAAAGCCATCTCTCCAACCTGAAGGGACTCCTATCTGAAGACTTCTGGAGAAAATGGCACCTGTTTTATCTGGAAGTACTAAAGGAAGCTCAGAGGCCTTCACAGGACTCCAGAAAGAGTACACAGGGAAGAAGCAGAGAATGAAGACTGTTACTCACTGACTCCTTTTACAGCTGGCTCCAACTCAATAACATTCACAATCTTTCTCTTCATTCCTTCAGGCTGGAAAAGAAGAAAGTCTCACCACAAACTACTTAATATGACAGAAAAATGCAATTCAAAACAGCAACATGGAAACATAAATAAAGTCATCAGATCTATTTCTTCTATAAATACAGTGTAGTTCCCTAATATATTTGCCTCTTCTCAGACATCATGGGGGGGGGGGATTCCACATCAGATTAGCCACATTACTTTTCATTGTCTGAATTACTGTAGCCATCCTGGTTAAGAATAAAAAATCATGAGTAGGGCTCGTCTGCCTTTAAAGTTCTTTGCCATCAATTGCTGACAGGAGCTGTTCTACCGGCAGGAGGGAAGAATTGGGTACCACCAACTGTGTTTTCTTTTCTAATCATGGTTGACAATCTTAGAAAAATCTGCCATACTTCATTAGATTAAAAATACATGTGTGCCCTTATCAGGTTGAATTAGGGACTGCAGGCACTAGAAAACACAATGTTCTAAGTGTGTTGTCTAAATATAACAGATTGTAAGTTCAGAGGCAGTTTCCACATAGCATTGTACCAAATTTTCATAAAATTAGTAGTTCTTCTATAATTTACTGCTCCCTTGGAACCATTTTTTTCTCCTGGAAAGGAAACTGTTAAAAAAAGAGAGTGAGCAATCTCACTCAGTGGATCTTACATAGTTGCTAATGAAGATTTTTTAAAAAGAATTTTTACTGTGTGTTGATGTTACAACATCCGACTTTGACAATTAGTACTTTTTTAAAGTCCTTTCAGCAGTTTGAACTAATTTTATGTGAGTGTGGTGCTGGCCTTGAAATAATTTAACTGCTGCTCTAATGATCATATGCCATTTTTTTGTTTTTGTTATTTTTATGTAAGCCGCACTGAGAGGGCTGGGATCCAAAGGTCATCCTGTAAATAACTGAAATAAATAAATCTAGAAATCCATAAACAACTTTTGTGACTCCCCTCTCCCAAATCATTGAAAATGTGGGTGGATTTAGAGGGGCATGAAAATATTCATAACTCAACCCCTCATTTTGCTCATCACCGATTCCAGTACAGCTGGGCAGATACCTTGTCTTCAAGGATTCAACTTAACTTTCTCCCAAGCTAACATCCCCCTCCTTTGCCCTACACAAGTGTTACACAGCAGTCTTTTGTTTCATTTCCTTGCTTGGTGCAGAAAGGAGAACAAAACAGGACCAGTAACAAAGCCTGATGGGCAGCCCCAAGGGCTGCTAGCTCCTGACCACAGAACTCCACCAAGGTATTACGGAAAAAGACAGACTCCTGGTAAAACACTCCGGAACACACAGGAGTTTGCTCTATTAGCTGCAGTCCCTTGCAGAACAAGGCCCCTTGCTCCAGTCTGGAGCTGGAAGGGCAGAATGGAATATGCAACAGCTGGAGGCAATTTCCAGGTTTCTGATATAAAATTGCCATCTTGTGCTGAGGCTTGCCTCAGCCTCTCTCATGTATGCACATTCATGTACACTAAATGTGTACCTGGAGAGCCTGAGAAAATCCTAGGGACAACAGGGCAGGCCTGTACTTTTCTGTGCTGCCTACTAGCTACCCCTCACCTGGCTATTGCCTGTAGAAATGAAGTCCTCAACCAATTGTGAGGCAAGGAGAGTTTTATGCTGGTGACATTTGGCTCATCAGCATAAAGGGAAGAGCCACTTCTGTGAAACAGCACTTTAAGTGCATTACAGGTCACATGCAGAATCAAGAATACCAAGAGGCCCATCAATAGCTGGGGTCGATTTTTTGCATACCTGTAAGCTTAATCATCCTTTTCTTGGTGAGTCTGATCAACTGAGATTAGGTGAAGATATTAGCCATCTATCTGTTGCTGAGACTAACCTTGTGGTTGCTTTTATATTTAGTTATCACTTCAGTAGTCTGCTGAATAGTTTGCTAATGCACTAATCCTCCATTTGATGCTAAGAAAAATTCCTTGCTTGCTTCAAGATCTAACCAGTCTTTCATTGGTGAGTGTAATCAACTGTTTGCTGAGAAAACTAATAGTAGTTTCCTAAAACTTTCCACTTGCTTGTAAAAGTGTAGTCATCATTTCACTGTTGACCTTGATCTGAGTGTTTGCACTTCCTCCTGAGAATAAACATCTCTTTCTTTCCCTATGTTTAGTTAGCTTCCTCTTTTTGTTACTTTGAACAATACATTGCATTCTTGTTCAGGAATCCTCCTCTCTTCTTCTCCAAGGGCCATTGGAAGGTCTGACTTACGTACCACAACTCTCAGCTTCTTCTTCACACCATCAGACACATACTGTCCCCAGACTGCTGCTTTGACCTCGACATCATGCAATCCCATCTTCAATGGGACAATCACAAATGGCACAGCGATGGAGGACATTCCTTTAATATTCAACACATGTTGGTATCTTTGCTTGGCAGTAGAAGCACTGCAGAAGGCTGGGTTGTGTATCAACTCCACCCGCACCTGAGGAGGTAAATGATAGTTGTTCACTGTAAAAGAAGTCTAAGCAGGGGAGAAGAGAGTTTCTTTGCTTGGATCAATGCTATCTAATCAATGTTTTCCCTTCAGCTAAAGGGGCTATAGTAGGTACTTCACCCGTAGTGGGAGGGCTCACACAACACAGTTCCTCATACTGTGAGATAAGCTACACAGTGTGAGTCATTGCCAGAACAATCCATGGTGCACCTAACAGATGATATACCATGATGTCTGCCTCCTGCTGAATGGTGCTCCAAGATCCCACATGGACAAGCAAACTGGTGCTCTCCTAATGATTTGGACTGCAGATTCTGTAAGCCCCGACTGACATGGCCAATGGACAGTGATTACAGGAGCTGCAGTCCAAAGTGTCTGGTGGGCTCCAGCTTGCCTACAGCAGACCATACTATTCTAGTCCAAGAAGTTTACCCACCTCTAAAACGTCTTGTGTGCTTTGGGTTCTCCAGAGTCACACTTGCAATCAAACTATTGCTTGTAAGCCTTGTTTAAATCAAACTTGCAAAAACCGAAAGCCCATTCAAAGCCACGGCCTCTTCCTCTGTGCCTTGTGGCTTTGCTAGTAGTGATGGATGCACAATCCTATTTCCCATTTTATCACCAGTGCCCCCTGCTATAACTCAATTGTATGCATTTGTGTGGCTGCTCTGAAGATAATCCAGAAGTCTCATTTAAATCTTTCTTGTACCGTGAACTTCCTAAATCTTTCTTAGCCATGAACTTGGGGATAAGAATCCTGACTTGTAAGATTGCTGAATTGTTTAAACTATCAAAAATGTGAAACATGATTACTGCACACAGTCAATACCCCATATAGTTCCTAGAAAAACAACCTAGTATTTTTATTACTTTATATGCAAATGACTTTATTATCAAATAATATGTCTCAAAAGCCCTCAAGGGGTTTTGCAGTCTACAAGGAACTATAAAAATGCTGATCAAAATGCTTGATGGAATCAAGTTTTTACTAATTCTCCAAATATAATTTCAGTTTGATTGAACTGTTCCTAACTGGAGGTGCAATTGCCTAAAAAGGGTGCTGCTATTAAGAGACCCCTGCTATTTGTACTGATTTAGCTTCAGATTGTGCTTGCTCTCAAAAGAGAGCCTCACCAAAGATTGTTAATATTTCCTTATTTTGTTGTTTTTCTATCCAAAGCCCTCTAAGTATGATACAATAAAATCACAACAACACAAAAATCACAAAAGGACAGAACATTCCTTGAAAACAGACAAGATTCTATTTTAAAGGCAGAAGGCCTCACAAAACAGGACAGTTTTATTGCTTGTCTAAACTACAAATAGCCTGACCTCCGTTGCAAGTTAATTCCTTAGCTAAATTCCATAGTTGAGATGTTGCTACAGAAAGGCCCCATTTCATTTACCCATCAACCTAAATGCTCACAGTGGTGAGACCTACAACGAAGACCCTAATGAAGATCACATATGACATACAAGCTGCTATGGTGATTCATCATCTCATGAGGGTGAGGGCAGGAAGTTTTAGTCTCACATCCAAAAAAGGAGCAAAGATGCACATTACATTCCTGAATTGGTTGCAACAGCACAAACAGTGCCTTGTGGCACAAGTTGTGAAATACATAATTCAGTTATGTGGCATTGACTTGCATTCAAAACAGTTCCTAGCATCACAAGTGGTATGCTCCCCGCATTTTAAACACATGCCCGTATCAAAATCCCAAAGTTTACCTTGATGTCTCTCTCCACGTAGTTGTAAATAACACCCCGAATCTCCACCTGCTCATTCCTCACCACTGAGTAGGGCAGCCGTAGATCAATAAAGAAGTCCTTCATTACTGTTATCTCATAAGGGTCAGCCACACAGATCCCTGCAAGGAAGGTCAACAGGAAAGGAAGCAGGCTGAGAAAAAATGACTTGTACATCAGTTACCTTTTTTAAAACAAAGAAAATTCTTAGGTGTTTTTCAAGGCACACTTGAGCTGAAATAATACGCCCTGTCCACTTTCCAACTGTCCAGAAGTCTTTACCTTTTGTGTCTGAAATGCTCACAGCCAACACCTCCCAGGTTGTGATGGAATCCTTCAGGTAAAAAGGTACCACCTTGGATGAAATCCTAGATACAGAGAGAAGGATGCCATGTCACACCAGGAAGCAGCCAGGTGCAGTCTGAGATGGGGACTGGGTACATGGGGTCACTACCAATTATATGATGCCCCTGTACTTCTTTGTAAGGTCCAGGACTGCTTACCCTGGTCCTGGTGTGCCTCTCTTGCCACCCCTGCAAATAGAGGGCAAAGGGAGGGGGATATGCCCGACACTGGGAGATCAGTAAGCTGTCCTGGACATCCCTGGGAACAGAGGGGGATCTCTGTATGTGCCTGCTGGTGTGGTTGCATCAGCCCTGCTCAGCCTGACATCTAGCTCCCACCCAGAGCAGCCTGCTAAAAGGGGCAGGCAGGGCTGACTGCCTCTAGAGTCCCACCACTTTCAAGGAGAGACTGTGTTCCCCAGGTGAGACGAAATGCAGGTTCAATGGAAGTGCAGCATTTTAAGAAACCTGTACTCAGAAGCCCTCCCTTCCTCAGGGTCTGGTGGCCAGCCCACTGGCTGAGGGCCAGCATTGCACCCACACACATCACCCACTGCCCCTTCTGCCATTTGTCTTCCCTTTTGCATGGTGGAGGAGGAAGGGCAGGCCTTCCTGCCTCAGCACTCACCAAAAGCATTTCACCTCCCTCAGAGAGTGGAGGGTAAGCCTCAGACTCCAGTCAGGACCTCTCCTTTCCCTTTCCTCTTGGAGGGGGAGCCCCGGAGCAGGTCTTGCTTTGGTCAGAGCCAAGCCTGATTTCCCATCATTCTGTGAATTCTGTGGGGCAGCCCAGCCTGCCCTCAGGACCCAAGTGGGCAAATGAGGAAAACTGAATAGATGCATGGAGGCCTTTACCCTTGATCGTTGGCAGGTGCTGTCAGATGCTCCATTTGCCATAACCAGCTCTCTGGGAACTCCGTCCTGGAGACAATCTGCTCATCAGATAGGAACTCATCCTCTGTTTCACCTGGGAAAACAGGAGGTGTAGTCGCAGCTTTGATTAAATGATTCCTGCAATGCCTCCTCAGGAACAGAAAAAACTGGGCTGAAGCCGGATTCCTCAGACCCGCCTCGTGAAAGGGACATTAAATGCATGGCCTAGCCCTAGGGAATAGGATTTTGGGAAAGACTGTCTCACCATGCCTGGGCGGCTGATGCTTCCAGCCCGGGTCGAGCCGGTATTATTTGATGGCACCAGTCTGAGATGGGGGGACTCTAACAAAAGGGCCAATGTGGCGTTTCCTTCATGGTATGTGTGGACACTGACCAGGCACTGCTGCTACTTCGTGACCCCATCCCAAGGGTCTCACCAGCCTGCGGTGGCCCATCAAGGCTACGCTCAACTCTAAGACCCACTTCCTCCCACCCACTCTGCCTGGAATTCCTTCCCTGGGCCTGTCGTTACAAATAGTGGCAGCCCCACTGTAATATGGCCATGAAATAATCATACGTCCCCAAGGAGTGGGCAGCCTTCCGGGCAAGGCTTATTTCTTCACAGTACTGTGCTGCCAAATTAAGTTTCCTTTGAAAACAGAAAGAAAACTCTACTTGCTTCTTGCAAGGAAGAGCTGATCGTCCCGTTGCAGGGTATGCCGTATGTCCCTGATGTAGTGGCAACATTCCAGGAAGACGTTCTGGCACTCTGGAACATGCTGATCATCAATGTACCGAGTACGCTTTTCACAGCTGTGTCCCATAGGATTATCGCGCATTCCATCTTCGCAGCATTTTCTTAGCTGCTGATCCTGATATTGGGCAGCTGAAACATGCAGCCTCATGAAATACGGAAGAATATCTGTGTCCACACAGGTACTGCCCTACTGCGCACTGCCGCATCGAGAGTTCATTGCATTATTAACTACTACAGCAGAAGCCGTGGCTGTCTCACAGGCTGCATGTTTGGGAATCAGCACATCAGTACCACATTGCAGTGTGTCCCCACCATTCACAAAATGCTCCTGGACACCTCCACGACACTGTGAACTCCCAGTGGCTCAAGCAGCCCAATTCCCACCCCTGCTGCACGGCCCGCTGGTTCCCAGCCCACAACCTCCATGTGCTCTGGCTCCGCCATCCCATTTAAATGGCCGCCCGGTTTTTTTTTGAAAGTCCCTAGTGTGGGAGAGCCCACCACCCCTCTGGGCAGCTGGTTGCACTGTTGTGTTGCTGACAGCGAGGAAGCTTTTCCTGATGTCCATCCTGAATCTGGGTTGTCACAGCATCAATTGATTATTCCATGTCCTGTGCTCTGTTATGAGCAAGAAGAGATCTGGACCTTCCTCTCTGTGACAGCCTTTGAGGTAGTTACAGAGCATGGGTCCTCAAACTATGGCCCGTGGGCCGGATCCAGCCTGCCATGCCCATTTATCTGGCCCACCTCAGAGGTTTTGGACTTGCCGTGCGTGCACAGCGGCTTGCTCATGTGGAGATCGTTTTGGACTCACTCGGAGAAAACAATCTCTGCGTGCTCCCACCCCTGCCTCACTGCACACACGTGCGCCCCCCTGGCCCAGCCCACGCCCCCCGCCCACACCGCCTTGGCAGCCTGTGCCCATTGCCAGCACCTTTCAACTGGCCCCGTTCAGAAAGTTAGAGGGATATCATGTCCCCATTACCTACCTTTGTTTTGCTTCGTCTCCAAGAGTTGTATGGAGCTACGTTTCCGTCTTGCGAGTTGGGGACACTTTATCTCTGCAGGGAGGATGGCAGAAAAAGGAAAGCATTATGCTGATGTGAAATGAGGTGATTGTGCGGAATCCTGTTTCCTGTGCAGCCGGATCCTAGGCACACATATGCGGAAGTGAATGGAGCTTACTCTGGCGTAAGAGCTTTCCAAGGCAAACATAACAGGGGCAGAGAAGTGGCAGTGGGAGGAGAGGCAGGATTAACCCGGTGCTTTGCTGTCCTTCTGGCATCTGTTATGTGCATTTACATGTCATGGTGTGGAGGGTGCTGGGACAGCTGCGAGCAGTCCAGGCCCCTGCGCCTCAGTACCCCGGCCTGGATCTTGGGCCACCACATCAGATGATGCCAGTACTGGGGGCAGCAGGCTGTCTAGGCTGGGCCTTTAGGTGCAAGGATTTTCTCGTACTGGAAGCCCTCTGTCCTCTCATGGGCACGAGCACCCATTCCAGCAATACCTGATCTTTGCTTCGTGGAAAGCTTGACGTTGGTCTCCAGGGCCAGTCCGGCATCCTCAAACACGCCTAAATTGTTCCTGCCGCTGCCAGCCGTGCAGCCGATGTCGCTCTTTTCCACTGTGTCCCACACCTGCCAGACAGGAGAGGCAAGTGATAGGACAAGTCACTACACAGGCTCAGGAAGGGCCACACTGGAAAAACCACTAGGCGTTGGCTTCCCAATCCCAAGGAATTTGCCACCTGACCTTAGCTTGGGTAAGCTTGTGCTTCTTGTTAAGGACGTAGACTCCCTTGTCCACAGCCACCAGGCCGACCCGAGCATTTGCATCCCCTTCCAGTTTGATCTTCATCTGAGCTCCTGGCTCATGAATTCGATTGTCTCTCTCAGTTGCTCCTTTCACAACCAGCTGTTTGGAGAAGGCAAAAAAAAAAAAAAGTTGAATTCTGTGATGAAGAAAGGTCTTCCTGACTATATTGGCGGGTGGAGAATGGAGAGAAGCTGCAGCATCACCCTTTGGAAAATAGGCAAGGAGAGATTAGAAATATCTTTTCTTCTTCCAAGTTGGATAAGGGCATCAGTGTAAGGTCTTAAGCACCTGGTTCAACCTACAATGTGCAGCTGGGGGCAGAGCTCCTAGACGACAGCCACGTATTTCCTGGACACAACAGAGATCAGAACAGGAAGCCAGTTGGGCCCCCCCATGGAGCCCTCACTGTGACTGGCTCATGGGTGACACACAGAGGTCAGTTGTGATAGCACAGCACATTCCCAACCACAGCTGCGAAAGGCCATCTGGATATTCTGACCTGAGCCTTTGAGGTCAGCCTTGCCCCATTCTCAAAGCCCCCACCTGAAGGAAACTTTGTAAAATTCCTCAAGGTCAACAGTATTCAGCACTTCAGAGATGACAGCAGGGAAGCATATGTTGGTGACAGCTGTTTTCATGCCAAGAATTATATACCAAGAATTACTTGACAACATGCCTTTCACTAGCTTCTGCACCATGAGAATTGCAAAGATCTCACTCACTTAACAACTTTATGAGCACATGCATGCTTGGAAATGATCTGACTGCAATAGCCGCAATTCAAACACATCCAGAGACCTTTCTACCTGGATAGGCAGTTCTGCGTGGGCCGGAAAAAGGCACTGACCTTTGGTGCCTACACACGGGCATTATAAGCATGCAGACGGAGTCTGAGAGACATTTGTCCTCTATGCAGGGAATGTCTAGTGACCAAAGGAACAGGCCTCAGGCCTGAAAACTATGGTGCAGAAGTGTGCACCCAATAACACTGTTTTTATCAAAGAACTTGGAACGGGGATTTGCCAGGAACAACTATCACTCTTTCCCTAAATCCAGGCTGTTCCTGGTACATCCTGATTGGGAACATGTACTCTTTATTTTCCTATGAAGTAGACCCAGGCAATATTTGGTATGTCAGTCTGCCTGATAAAAAATAGGTTTATATCTGCATCCAGGTTGTGAAGTTCCGCATGGTTTCTAACCAGAGCTGAAGCACATGTGTGGAGGAAAGCCACCCTGCAGTGTTCAAGGCAGTACAGGAAGCTGGATGTGGAGCTTAGGAGCAGCAACCTACCGTCCCCATACAGGTATCCTTCACGTCCACCCAGACAGAGTCAGCCACGAGCTCGTTGTTCCCCAGCACATAGTAAGCCAAGAAGCGGAAGGAGGGGATGAGATCCGGGGTGATGGGCAGAGACATGCTCACCAGATTCTGTCCAGGTGCCCTGTTCTGCCTCCCAACCTTGAACACCTTTCCCTTAGTCAAGATCTGATGGGGAACAAGAGGTACAGATTAACAATGTGCAGAGGGTCAGGAACCATGGATTGCTCCTCCCGTCAAATACTGTGATATAGAAGACTGACTTTGTGGGTAGTTTGCCGGGGCTGCAACGTGAGCCCGTCTCTCATGGTCTGATAGGAAGACAATGGTTGCAGTGAAGATTTCAGAAATCTGCTTTTCCAGGATACATGGCTTACACTTACACTTCCCCTTCCCTCCCTCACCAAAAGGTTCAGTCTTCAGAGATGAGTGGAGACATGGTCCTTGGATTTCCCAGTCTATAGCACTTACTATGTAGGTGAAATAGTGGATCTGGTCCAGCACTGCTTGGCTGTTGCCTTTCACATTGAAATTGATGGGCAAGTTGCTTCCAGCCTGCAGCTCTACAGCTGTGACTGCAAGATGGAGGTAGTTTCCTGATCCTCCCTGTGTTTCATAGGCAGTAGCCACCATGGTCTTGACTGCCTGGCGTTCCTCTGGCAATCTCTCGTGTTTGGTTCTTACCTAGAAAGGGTGAGAAGGGTTAACTGCATCACGAAGCAACCATCCAGTCTTTCAAATCCACTGCTCGGGGATGAGCAGATGGTCCCAATGAGCACCCCTGAAAAGAGGGGGAGCAGAATGCAGCCATTCTGGGGACTGAGGGGTGTAGGCCAGCACTGTCCCCCCAAACACTTTGCGTCCTCACACCTTCCTTCAGTGCAAGCCTGTCACAAGTACTCTCCTTGCCTTGTTTGGATATGCTGTGTCTTTAACGCTGTTGCTATTTCCCCCCTCTTTCTCTGATACACATATGGTGCTGCCATTAGGAATTTAATTCCAGTTTATTAATGAACTTCTCCCACAGTATCGTGCCCAAGCTATAAGGCTCCTCCATTGGACTACGTGGTCCTGAGGATGAGGCACAGCCTATGACTCTGAGTGAACAATAAGCAGAATCAAACTTGATTTGTACAATAACCCACTGGTTACAAGATATTCACCAACTTATAAGCAACTTAGAGAGTAGAGCAATGCATAATAGCACCTTCTGACTGAGGCATATTTATTTATTTTATTTTTCAATTTATATCCTGCCTTTTTCCTACAAAGGGCTCAAGGCAGCTTACATCTTCTCCTCCATCTTATCCTCACAACAACAACCCTGTGAGGTAGGTTGGGCTAAGAGTCTGTGACTGGCCCAAAGTCACCCAGTTGGCTCCATGGCTGAGCGGGGACTCGAACTGACATCGTCTGAGTCCCAGTCCCATGCTCTTAACCACTACGCCACACTGGCTCTCAATTTCCCTTTACAAACTCTGCTCACACACGGATCCCCCTTCCTCTCCTGCACTCAGGTTTCTGGCAGAGTTTGTCTCTCACAGCCACAATAATAATGCTTGACAGTAGGAGGTGCCAACTCCACATAGCCATTAATCATTCATTCAGTTATTTATTAAACGCTTTTCAACCCTGCCTGCCACTAGGGTCTCAGGATGGCTTACAATAAAAATGAATAGAACAAACCAAAACACCACAACATCTTGCTGGGATGTATGTACACCAATGCTAGGAGCATGGGTAATAAGTGGGAACAGCTTGAGGCTCACCTGGGAATAGGAGGGTATGACCTGGTGGAGATCACAGAAACTTAGTGGGATGAAAGGCAAGACTGGAATGTTTAGAATGGACAGGAAGTGAAAGAGGGAAGGAGGTGTAGCATTTTAAGTCAAGGAAGGGATAGGGTGCAATGAGATAGAATGCGGCACTGATGGGGATCTGGTAGAGGCGGTCTGGGTGAAACTAAAGGGTTTCAACAGGGAGAGGGACCTGACAGTGGGGGTATGTTATCACCCTCCAAGTCACCTTGAGCCTTATGTGCATTGTGGGAAAGACAATGGAAAGGCTCATAATAGGAAATGCTTTGTTATCCCTGGATAGGTAGGGGAGGTTGGCAGCCACACAACATGGTTTCCGCAAAATCAGGTCCTGCCAGATGAACCTTGTGGAATTCTATGACAAGGTTTCGAGGTAGCTAAATGGAGGGGATGCAGTGGATGTGGTTTACCTGGATTTCAGCAAGGCCTTTGACAAAGTGCCCCATGATATCCTGGTTGGGAAACTGAGGCGTTTTGGGATAGACCAATGCACTGTCCGGTGGATTAGGGCATGGTTGACAGACCAAATGCACAGGGTAACTATTAGTGGGGAATGACTGGGATAGCAGTTGGTGACAAGCAGGGTCCCTCAGGGCTCAGTCCTGGGACCAATCCTGTTCAACCTTTTAATTAGTGACCTGGAAGAGGGCAGGACAAGTCTGCTGATCAAATTCACAGATGATACTAAAATGGGGGCAGTGGCCACAACTGAGGAACAGATACTCCGGATCCAAAAAGAATCTGGACAGACTATGGAAGTGGGCCAGGGACAACAGGATGGTGTTCAATGTGGATAGGTGCAACAACACCCCTAGGATGCATAGCCGGAAGCATGGCTACTTGATTGAGAGAGGTATCGCAGCCACTCTATATGACTCTGATGCACCCACAGCCAGAGCTTGTGTTCAGTTTTGGGCCCCTCATTACAAGAGGGATATAACAAGGTTGGAATCGGTGCAGCAAAGGGCCACAATGATGGTGGCTGGTTTGCAGGGTAAGCCATATGAGGAGGGACTGAGGGAACTGAGTCTTCTCAATCTTGAGAAAAGGAGACCGAGAGGGGACCTGTTAGCAACATACAGGTATGTGAAGGGTGTCACACAGATGGGTTGTGACCTTTTTTTCTCCTGCAGTGGAGGGCAAGATGTGTTCCAATGGAGAAAAGCTCGGGGGACCAAGATTCAAGGTGGAGTGAGGAAGTACTTCCTCACAATTAGGACCCCAAGGGTATGGAATGGGCTTCCATGGGAGGTGGTTGAAGCCCCATCATTGAGGGTGTTCAAAGATAGGCTGGACATGTACCTGGTAGGCATATCATGAGTTGAGCTGGGAGTCAGACTAGATAGCCTGGGAGATCCCTTCTGACTCACTCTGTTTCTATGTTTGTATTAATGTGCTAGTTTTAATTATATTAATTTATGCTTTACTTCTCCTTGAGTATGTTTACTGTGCTCTTATCTTGTTTTATTATATTTTAACTGTGTCATTCTGCTCAATTGCTATTTTTATTATAACAACTGCCCAGAGAGCATGATGCTAATAAGTGACTTTCAAATAAATCCAATAAATACATAAATAAAAACCCTCTAGTGAGTTGAATAAGCCTCTGCTCATGTCAAGAGTGTTGAACCAAGCTTGGAACTTCTCCCTAGAACCCTTCGCTTTCAGAGTGGCTTCCATTGATGATGGGCCAGTCTATGAGACCTATCCAAGCCCTCCAACTGGGCAGCTCGTCTCTCCTACCGCCTCATCGTGGAGTCAGGAACTGGGCAAGGCAGCAGCTCTTCCTCCTCCTGTTCTTGCCTCCCCTCCACATCTCTTCTAAAACACTTCTGCCCTCCTGGTCAGCCTGGGAACCCGTGGCAGTGACCCTGAGGGCAATTCTGAGGCCTCTCCTTGAGTTTCCAAACACACATCCTCGAGTCTTCAGGGTCTTCGTCTTCTTCAGAATCTCAGTCACGATGATCCTGGGATGCCTGCCAAGAGTGACCATCTGGTTCACCCACCTATCATGGCCCAGGACTGTCGGCTCTTCCAGCCGTGTCTGGGAAGAGGCTTTTTTCCAGGTCTCCTATGCTCTTAACATGGAAACTCTGCAGTGGAAACTACATCAGTGGCAGGAGCTCCCTGTCCTGTTGAGGAGTTTATTCCCTTAGAGATAATCTGGTGTGGGGTGAGGCTGGAACCTTAGTAAACCCCTTGGTCAAGAGTCAAATGTGGGTGGCTTTGCTTTCCTGTCACCCACTTCCCTCCACCCTCTGCTCTCCTGAGCCCAGATAGAGCTGGTAGCTCACAGAGGGGCAGTGAAAGCAGGGCTAGAGCTGCAAACAATAACCCGGTGCCTAGGGCTGCAGAGTCCTATACGCTAAGGAGGTGCTCTGTCCCTGAGCTAGGCGTCCTACTAGCCTAAAAGTTTGCACAATTGCCACTAAGGGTAGCTTTGCTACTCGGCGCAGAAGCTAAAGTAGCCACTAATCACAGTGCACTAGCAAAATCCAAGGGGGACTCACAGTGATTCTTAGCTCTCGACTGTTAGCTGGTACATTCAGGATCAGCTTGGCAGTTCCATCACTCTGGGTAGTTGATTCCACACGAATGGGCTCTGACACCACAGGGACAAGGTCAGCTGGAGAGCCGTCAGGGTTGGTGACATAGACCTGAAGTGATTAGAAGAACACACTGAGGGTGGAGCATAGAGATCTCTGCCGGGTCTGGGTCAGGACTGCCGCAACACCTGCGGCCTCAGGGAGTCAGGGGTTTGCCTGTCTTTCCGTGTGCATTATCCTTAGCCCAAGTGAGCCAGAGAGGGGACCCGAGGCGGCAAACAGTCTAACATTACCATCAGTTCATAAGGCATTCCTGGCTTGAAGTACTTGGGGGTTTTTGTGAAGTGGATCTGATAGGGAGATGTCACGATGCTAATGCCGGTACGTTCAGCTACCACCATGTCACTGCCTGCAGAAGAGGAGAAAGAATTGAGGTAAAATGCACAGACAAGTCGTATGAAGGGGAGAATGATTTTGCAAACATTCTGGCCCCAGGGAGCCTTCACACTGATGAAGAACCCCTGTGGACAGGACTGTTCAAGGAATCTATGAAGAATCATGAAAAGGAGTCCACCCAAAATATGCCAGTTAACAAAGGAGGATTTTGACAACAAAGCACTTGTACAGAAAAAGCCATGAGCAATGGCTCGGAACATCTGACCCAAGGGGCATTCCCGTGGGCTCTTGCCCTTGCAGCTCTGTGGAAGCCTGCTTCTTTTTGCAGATGGAAAAAGTTGACAGCATGAAAAGGTGATGGCAGAAAGAATGACAGTAGGCAGTAAAAACACTCATTGTGCTTCACAGGTTTCCTACAGGTTTCCTATAAGCCTTTTCTTCCCAGGAGTTGGCTCAGTCTTTCTTATGTTAAAGGGATAAGCATTTCTGTATTAGAGTGTTGTAGAACAAAATCGACATCTCTGCCAGATATGGTTTACTATAAACTATGTTCTCAAAATTGAAAGAGAGTAAGGATTTACTCCTGTGCGGGCTTTAAGACCATCACCTACCTGAATCTGTCATCACTGTTGCAGAGATATAGAGAGAATGCCCAATGAGCTCATTGAGGTTGCGAAATTTGGTCCGCAACATGGCTTTTGTTAGTACTGCTTCTCCATCTCCTTCAACGATCTGCCAAGAGAAGGGAAGGGAAGAGAAGAGAGTAAGGGGAGGAAATCAAAGTGAGATCCAAAAATGCATACACGCACACATGGATTCCTCTTACCGGAATTCTCTTGAGTGAGTCTGGAATGCTCTTTTTCTCATCATCTATTTTCACTCCAAAGATGACAAAAGCCACACCTTCTACTTTCTTTCCATAGAGAAAGCTAGAGGAGCAAAACAAAATTAAGGGACAAACGAGATGTTCACACTGAGTGCCTTGTTTGCATGAAACAGGAGGTAAGAGGTTTAGCTTCAGCATCAAAGAGGGGGCACACAGGTGAGGGGAGCTGACTGGCCTTTATGTTTGCAGTCCTCCCCTACCTCCATCGGTTAGGCACGTTTCCCCCAGCCTTGCTCTCATGGTGGGCATGTCGTGAGCGGAGCCAGCTGGTGCCGGAGGTCAGACTAGATGGCCCGGGATGACCCCTCTGACTCACTCTGTTTCTATGTTTCTGTTTCTCTCGTCTGGTGTTGTCAGGATTTGAGGCAGCTTTGGGGCTTCATCTTCTGGCTAAAGGCCAGAATAACAGCCCTGGCAGTTGGAGGATCAGACCCACAGTCTCCTGCAGCTATCAGGGCCCTTACGAGCATCACCTGGGAGCCCTGAGGGAAGAGCTATAGAAGAACAGGCTCTTCCATCCAGAAGCTGTCTCAGCAGCCAGGATCTTCTGCCTGGTGCTGTGTGAAACCCTGGCTGTGAATCCTGCACTCGGGACCTATGCCTGCTCCTGGATCCTGCTGCAAACCCTTGGCTGCTCTCCCTGCCCTGCTTCTCCTCCTGCTTTTGCTCCAAATGCCCCCTTCCCCCGCTTGTGTGGACATTCTGGCTCTTGGCTCCTGGTTTGTGTTTACCTCCTATGCCTTGGAATTTGGATTGGACATTGGTCAGTGCTTGGATTAAGGCGTCTGAGTCCTGGTGTTCATAAGTTTAACCTGTTGCCACACCTTGGGCTCTGACAGGTATCGGGCCTGGAGTGGGGAAGCGGCATCACGGGGGGGGGGGGGCTGCCATTCCTATGCCCACCTGCCCCTTCTGATGTCAGAAGTAGCCTCCTCGCCCCTCACTTGATGGGTGAATAAGGTGGGTCCCGGAAGAAATGGGGCTGCTCTGCCCCATCAGCTGGGGCTGCAAGGGGCAGATGTTGTGGCATGCCAGGTGAAGTTTTAGACTTGTAAATGGCACGTGGGGCCTGTCTGTGCATGTGTGCCTGAGTGCATGTGCATGGAGGGGCCCCTCCTCTCCAGTCTTGGTCCTGGCGGAATCAACCCTCCAAGTGCCGCTGGTTCTGGAAGGGAAGCTCCCGCAGGACGAAGCTGCTCGGGGCAGGGACCGTCTGCCCTGAACACACAATGGGAGACATGGGATCTGCATGCCAGAATCCTAACCACGGCTGGCCCCTGGTAGCCACTGCTCCCTTATCCCCCTCGTGCCCTGTGGCAATCTGTGGCCACTGTGACTGGCGGAGCCAAGAGTAAGAAAAATAATGACGTTGACAGTAAAAATAATGGCCACATTCTGAGAGCAATGTAGAAATGTAATTCACAGCAGGAGCAGCAAGAAGCAGCCTCACAGCTTTAAAGGCAAACATTGCCAGGCAATCGCCCCACAAGCGGTTTAGAAACAAGTAAAGCCCAGACACTCAGCCTTCTATCCCCACGTCATTTCCCAAAACTTATTAGTCACCCAGAGCCGACTGCAAAATCATCCCCAGAGCAACCCCAATGCAGTCTCCCCCAAACCCAGTCATGCACCCTGAGAACCTGCCATTCAGGTTCTCTTTAGCCCACTCCTTTCCCACAGTGGTGCATGGACTCACTTTGCAGTGATAGACACTCTGAAATCCTTGTTGTCATCGATGTATAAAAATGTCTCTGAGGGATTCAGTGTGACTTCAAAGCTTGGCAACACTGCAGGAAAACAGAGCAAGGGGAACCATGCAAATACAGTGGGACCTTGGCTCACAAACTTAATCCGTTCCACAACTCTGGTCATGACCCAAATTGGTCATGAGCCAAGTCAAATTTCCCCATAAAGTTCAATGTAAATAAGTTTAATCAGTTCTGTAACTACTTTTTTAATTACAAAAATATGAAGCAAAGTGACAAGGAACAACAAAGATCGCGGCCATCTCCCCACTGCTGAGCATGAGCATGGCCATCTCCCCATCCCCCAAGCACAACCACGATTGCGCCCATGTTCCCTGCACGAACACGAGCCCGATCACTGTCATAGACGAGCGGGATCTCGGGCACACGCAGTGGGGGGTGGAGGAGATGGGCACAATCACAATCGTCACCTGATGCGGAGTTTGTGACCCGAGTAAAAAATTTTCTTTAATTTTTGTTCACGACCCTATTTGGTCATGAACTGAGGCATTCATGAGTTGAGGTACCACTGTATTCACAGAAGGAAGATGTGAATGGGAGTATCAACTGCCCAGGAAGAGCAGTCATAGCGATTTCCAGTGCAAAGGTGAAGACAGAAGTGGGTCTTCCCTGAGAAAGGGTGAGAGGATGAGGAGACGAAGCCAGGCATTGGGCAGGGCCATCCCAGCCCAGTGTTTCTTCCTACCATATTCTTTGACATCAAAAGGTGTGCTGAAGGTGAACTCCGGAGAGTCTTCGTACTTGGCCACAACTTGCCAGGTTCCCAGGCTGGAGATGGAAAAGGAAGGGAAATTCATGACTTAATCAACTCACAGTAATGCATAAGGAATATGTACGGCCCCCTCTACCTGGAATGTGTGGGGTTACTGTGGACATAGACATGTTATGTTCCTCGATGCTTTTCCATAGAAAATAGAAATGAGCTTAGAGCTGAGCATACCATATGCTGGGTATGTCTAGAATGAAATTTGCCTCCCTGACCCATAGGTTCAAATTCTCAGCATGGAGGTTAAGGGTGGCCTCAGGGAAATTAATGACCTGGTTCAGATTACTGCTGTGACTTAACAATGCCAGAAGCAATTTGCATAATCAGCCACCCGGGCACTGCATATTGGGCTGTCCAAACCAAGGAAGCATAGTTTTTTGGAGGGGAAAACAACCCTCAAATAACTCATGGGTTGTTGTTCAGTTATTTGAGGACTTTTTCCCACAACAAGCCATGCTGCCTAGGTTCAGATGACATGAGAAGCCATGTCCAGGCAGATAATTAGGAAAAGAGTACTTGATGTTTACTGAGGCTCATATAAGCTGCAGTAGCTAATTTAAACCATGGTGATTGTGCAAACTAGCCCACTACGCATCCACTGTTTACCCACACTACATCACGGGTTTGTTATGAGAAGAAAATGAAATAACTCTAAGTACGCTATCCCATGTTTCTTAGAAGAAAAGAAAGGATAGAAATATGAATAAAACAATGAACAGTGTAAGAGATTAAGAGTATTCCCAGTTTAATACAAAATCATATTAAAATTGATAAAAAGGCACCATACATGAACATTTTTGACTAACTGCTTTTTCAGTCATGTTTCTGTACATGCTTGGCATACTGCAATATTCATGGAAAATTACCTGACAGTCTCAGGTAAGTTGTAAGGCTGGATGTTTGTTGAAGTAGGCTTGATAGAATTCTGACTGACAACAATGCCTTCTGGTGTCTAGGAGGGGAAATATGAGAATGAAAGGATGAGTAATGCTTATGCATATCATTTGTATATCATCTCTTGATATGGCAAGAGTGCCACTGAACAATATACTTTGTGTACATGTGAGCTGCGTGTCATCACAGTATGGAGATCAAAAGGTATATTATATACTACTATGAAGCATTAGAGCTAGACCAGCAACACTTAGGGTCAAATGTCTGCTCAGCTATAAATCACATGTGATGCCTTTGGACTAAACTTTCAACCTAAATTATTTTAGGATAAAAGGTGATACACTATTCTGAACTCCACAAAGGAAGAGCATGATGACTACCTTATACCAATAAATGGCCTTTCCCAAGGTCTTAGTGACAGTTTTAATTCTAGCGGGACTGGCCCCATCTTTATAAAATGTTGGTACAAGTTCTGAAGTAGAGCATATATGAAAAATGCATGCAGAATGTTTCCAAAGAAAAACTAAGCAGAGTGGTCTGTGTTCTTTCTTTGCCATCCCCACAGATTTACATGAAAGCCTATTCAGATAGTGTCCACCACACATACTTGCACACGTGACTTTCACCTTAAACTCAGTGATCACAGTTTTATCCATAAGCTCCAGGTTGTGACCCAGGGAAAAGACACGATAGCGCACTGCAAAAGAAACAAGGTAAGGTCAGCTGTTTCTGATGAAGTGAAGAGGCAGCAAGTGGTGGCATCCAGGAAGCTTGACGTACATTCCAGCATGGAAAAATTAACGTGTTATTCTCTGTGTCTGTCGAGACTTAAAAGGCAAGTATTTGGAATCTGGCCAGGCAAAACTTCAGTCTGTGGGTAGATTCACATGACATGCCAACCCACCCTGAAAATAGGCCATGGTGGGCTGGTTATTTTGTGTCTGTAGTCACATAACAATTGGGCTTGCCACAGCCCTTTTCTCTTTGAAGACTGAAAGCTGGTTAGAGTTGGTTTTTGCAATGCCTGATTTGACAACCATTGACAGCCCCTTCAATGTGCAAAAGCAGTACATTGTTTGTTTGTTTATTTAAAACATTTGTATGCTGCCCAATTGTGCCACAGCATCTCTGGGCAGCTTACAACATGAGATAAAAACAGAATAAAATCAGAATAAAAACCATAACACATTAAAATAACAATAAAATACAACAAAACAAAGGTCTATGACAATTAGTTATTAAAATGTTTTTTTTTTAAAGAAAGGTCTTTGCCTGGTGCCAAAAAGAATGTAAGGAAGGTGCCAGGGGAATCTCCTTGGGGAGAGCATTCCAAATATGGGGAGCAGCTGCAGAAAAGGCCCTCCTCCTAGCAACCATCCCTCTCACCTCCTTAAGGGACGGCTCACACAGGAGAGCCCCCTGCATAGCTCTCGAAGGACAGGTAGGCACATACCCTAAGATAACCTGGACCTAAGCCATTTAGGGCTTTATATGTCAAAACAAGCACCTTGAATTGGGCCCTGGGCACAGTTGGTAACCAATGAAGATCTTTCAGTATAGGTGTTCTGTGGGCTGTTCTAGGGACTCCTGTCACCAGCCTAGTGGCCTGATTCTGTAGCAATTGTAATTGCCAGACTGTCTTCAAGGGCAGCCCCACATAGAGCGCATTACAGTGATAGCTTACAACTATTTGCAAAGTTTACAGATAGATACCCTTTTGGCAAGTGTGCCTCCCACTCATGGATGTCCAAATTTAGAAGATTTGCCTGGGGCCAGAAGAGTACCTGCAACCAAAGTGTAAGTGGTGTCAGCCCTGGACACTGACCCAGAGTGATTCCGAAAAGCCTTTTCTTTTGCAGATGGGTTTGCTTTGACAGATGTCAAAACAAATGCATGTTCTATGCTTGTGAAAAGGGTTTAGTGGGATTAATACCCTCTTCACAGCAGGAATCTCTGTTCCCCACCAACCTTTTTAGTCCTAAAACGACTAAGCATTTTCCCAATTATTCCAAGAACCACCCTATTTATGGAAAAGCACTGGCAAAAGTAAAAATCCCTTTAAAGAAGGATTTTAAACATGGATTTAGGCAGTAGCACTTTGGTGTAACTGGCAGGGTCTGTGTGTGCCACTTCCATGAGCTGTTTTGGGCTCACAATTACTGGGGTTTCCCTGTAAACAAAAAGGAGGCTACCAAGCTGCTTTTTGCAGTCCCCAGTTTTGCAGAAATGAAAAGTCCCTCGAAGGTGTCCCAGCCAGCAGTATGTTGGAGGGGCTTCCTGTGATTGCCCACCCCATTTTTTATTTTCCTTTTGGGATCACAAACATATGCACTCAAAAATTACTATTTTCATTTCACCGTTTTAAGTTTAATCCCAAAATTGGAAGCCCCATGGCACCCTATGATCCCAACCATGACAGGGTCCCTAAATGGCCACCATTTATATTTTATTGCTCTGTGTCATTGTCACCTTTACAGCAATGTTTTTAGTTACTGATTGTATTGTCTTTGCATCCTGTATGCAATTCAGTGCGAGCAGCTTACAGGTTGTGTTGTATTAGGCAGCAAAAATAAATGCATACATGATAACTATAACAACTGCAACAGTTTGTTAATGTCATGTCCAGTTTGGCCTGAAGAAAAGCTTTAGGCATAGCACATGTGATAAAATATCCTTGCTGCTCTTGCTGTGGAGATCTCAGGCAGGCAGTATTGCCACCCACCTTCAAAGTGCCTGAGCAGCACTTGGGGGCAACTGGCACTGCCTTCCCTCATTCCCTGCTATGAACCAGTTTGGGCTCACCGACATTTGGCCAACCTTTAAAAAGTCATCATACACCTACTTGAATACTCTCTTGCCAAAAGAGGATTTTTAACTCCTTAGAAATCCCACCATGGAGATTTGCATTTTGACCAGTCAGCTAAGCTGTCAGACAGCAATTACTGCCATATGTGGGAATCTCCACCATTTTTGCAATCTCACTTTTGACAGCTACAAACTGTCCCTCCATGGTGCTCCACCAGGACTGCCCATGGTTGCCCAGTTTTTTTTAATGTTCCCCAAATTTTTGCAATTAATTGTGAATTTAAAAAAAATGTTTTTTATTGCCACCCTTTGGCAACTGCTGGCATGTACAATTTTGTAGGGCAGCAATGAGAAGAAATGGAGGTAGTGACAGATTTTATTCTCCTGGGCTCCAAGATCACTGCAGATGGGGACTGCAGCCAAGAAATTAAAATATGCTTGCTCCTAGGGAGGAAAGCTATGGCAAATTTAGACAGCATACTAAAAAGCAGAGACATCACCCTGCCAACAAAAGTTCATATAGTCAAGGCTATGGTTTTCCCAGTTGCAATGTATGGCTGTGAAAGGCGGACCATAAGGAAGGCTGAGTGCTGAAGAATTGAGGCCACTGAATTGTGGTGCTGGAGGAGACTCCTGCGAGTCCCTTGGACTGCAAGGAGATCAAACCAGTCAGTCCTAGAGATCAAACCTGACTGCTCTTTAGAAGACCAGATATTGAAGATGAAACTCAAATACTTTGGCCACCTAATGAGAAGGAAGGACTCACTGGAGAAGAGTCTAATGCTGGGAACAATTGATGGCAAAAGAAGAAGGAGACAGCAGAGGATGAGGTGGCTAGATGGAGTCACTGAAGCAGTTGGTGTGAGCTTAGGTGGAGGACAAGAGAGCATGGAGGAATGTTGTCCATGGGGTAGTGATGGGTCGGATGCAACTTTGCTAAACAACAACAACAAATGGGGAACCTTGGGTAGGTAATGGGCAGCTGGGCACCCACTGACAAAGTCTGCAGGTTGCAGGTAAAACTAGCAGGGATAGGGGAGGCAGAATTAAAGGCACAGCCAAACCACAGTGAGATCCAAACACCTTTCAGCCACTGCTGCCACTGGCAGCAGTGGCAGGGAAAATCAGTGTCAGTTTCCCACAAATGCTACTTCTCTGTCTTCAGTTCAAATAAACCAAAAACAGCTTGCTGTTCAGGCAGAGAACCTTGGTGCTCCTACAGCTTCCCGTGGGATATTTGTGGGAGAATGGAGGGATGGGGAAAGGCACCTGACCATTGATGTGCCCCATCATCTCTCAGGCATATCAGGAGTAGGGTGGCTTATTAGTTGTTCAAAACTCACTAAGATTGCTGAATCTTCCTCCACCTTATCTAAAAGCCTGTCTGTCACAAGTGTTGTCTACAATCTTTGTAGCAGGCAGGCCAGTAAATATGTGATCTGCATGTACTTCACAACATCAGGCACACTGGGTCCACCTCCTAGGCAGGGCCTTGGAGACTGGGCCCTCTTCTTGCGGATGCCACTAAGGGCAGTGGCCTTGGGCGGCAGCCAAAGAACAGATGCCAAAGGACACCACTTTTTGCACCTGATTGATGCCTGTCTGAGGCCTGCTTGGGACACCCTGTTACGGCCATGGTGCAGAGGAGATGCTGAGGCGGGGCCATGCTGGCCATGCGTCTTCTTTTCTCCCAGCCAGCTGTACTAGTTTGTGCATTATTGCTTTACATTAAATATTACATTAAGTATTCCTGTTTTGATTTACGCATTGCTTTTGTAGATAATATTGTATTTTGTATTTATGCTTTGATTATACTGTTGTATTTGTATTGAATTTGTATTATTTCTGTTTTGTTGTATGCTGCCCAGAGAGCCCTTTGGGCTATTGGATGGCATACAAATTGAAGAAGTATCTCTTTATTCCTAACTACTCAATCTCCCACTACCAAAAACCTCGTCCATAACTCAGTTTCCTCACACAAGAAGCAGAGCTTTGATTCATTTTCTTTCCTTCTTCTTCAAATGATTTTCTCCTAACCAAGAATCCTAATTCTCATCATTTATTTCTGTACACATAACTATCAGTGTAGAGTGAAAGTGACCTTGCAGCTCTCACAAAAAGGAACAGCCTGAAAACAGGAAAGATATAGTAAACACAAAAGCTGCTCTGCCCAACAAGCATTTTAAAATATATTACTGAGGCAAATCTATGTGATAAATTTGGTATAAAGTTGGATGAAGTAAAATCCCTCTGAACCATCATTTTTGAGTGCACTGCTAATTCTTTGTTAGAGCTCTCTAGACTAAAGGAGAACTAAAGTAAGTAGAGTTTCTTGACTGGGAGCACGGAAAGTTATTCAGTCCAAACACATTTAGATGTCTATGTAGAAATAGCCATTTTTAAGGAGCAGCCCTCTCTCAAACCAATTTAACTTGTCTGAGAAGAAAAAAAGCCCCAGCTGTCCCCAGCTCTAATTGCAAAGGAGACATTTCAGAAAAGAAAAGCTTAAGGATCTACTCCACACCCCCACTGGAATTTCAGCTAAGTCTAGAGAAGAAGCCAGCAGAAGACTCTACCTGCCGATCCAGGTGTGTAGATGGTTTTATCTGTTTGGAGAAAGATATATCCACTCTGAGGGGAGACCAGAACCACTTTCTCCATTGTGAATTGAGCACTGGTAGCATGGATGATCACATACTGGTTTTTCTTGGAATCCTTCTTTAGGTCTTTTGCTGGAATCTATATGAAGATATCAGAAATTAGCATGACATGAGCTTAGAATTAACCTTATCAGTGAGTCCTAGTCTCAGAGTGATAGAGCAAAGGTATTACTGTTGTAGCATGTCCACAAGTTGCTTCTGTTGGTACTCCTACTACTCTGGGTTCTGGAGCAAATCATGCAGGTCAGACACTGCAGTGACCGCACTGCTACACTTAAGAATTGTGGCGGCTGACCACTGACATCCCCCTAGGCGAGGATTGCTTGCACAGTTCTTCAAAAGGTATTTTACTAACTACTAAAATTAGTCTCCTCTGGAAACCCCAACAGTCTGAGTCTTACAACCCACACCTGTAAATTGCAATCCAACACATTATGCCTGCTCTCCTATCTCATCCTTCCTCTTTTCCACTCATTGCTTCAGGCAGTGTCACGGAGGACAACCCAGGGAGAAGGGGCCTCCCCAGCCATCTAGCACACCATCACATCAGTGCCCCTCAGCAGGGAGTTCCCAACGACGATCACCCACCGCTGTCTCTTCCCGGTGGTGGTACGTGGCCATGCCCTGGCCCTTGCCTCTCTTGCAGTGGCCTCCTGGCCACATGTGGACCCAGGCTGGGGGTCCTGCTGGTCCCCCAAGACCTCATCAGCCCCAGCCTCCCCAAGCGGAGAGAACCTGTTTCCCAGCTCCAGATCAGTGCCAGGAGAAGGAGGAGGCCGTGCTGGCCTCCTCCTCCTGTGGGTGACATGCCTCCATGTCTCCCCGGCTGTTCCTCCCGTGGCCCCTCCCTCAACCCTCTGTCTGGAGGGGGCCTGCTCCAGGGGGGCCTGGAGAGCTCTCTCGGCCCTCAGGCACCTCACCTCCTCCGCTAGGAGGGTCACCAGCTTGCTCCGAGGGCAAGGGTATCCCTGCCTCTCCTGGGGGAGAAGGGTGAACATGTCGCAGCTGTCCCAGCAGACAGCAACACCCGTGACTCCCGCCAAGGCCATCTCCTGGCCTGCCATTGGAAACCCCTCAGAGACCCTGCCTTGGTCCCCCGCCTTGTCTGTCCTGCACTACTCCTCACTTGCCCAGTTCTCCCAGACAAACACACACACACACACCACGCATGGGCAAAATAAAAATTTAAATTAGGGAAAAAAACCTGCCCTCAGGGAAGGGAGTCCCTGGGCAGCCTGAGCCACATCTAAGGGATGCAGACAAAGGACAACCCCTTATAAGCCTCACAGGCTGCTTCCCCCTGGGCTCCCCTCTGCTTCCCCCTGGCCTCTCTGGGCTGCCTCCCTTCCTTTCCGCTGCTCCTGTCCCCCTGTCCAGCTCCTGCCTTGTCTTTGCCAGTCCCCTGGCCTCCCTCAGCACTCTCTCCCAGCCCCTACTCTGCCTCCTCTGCTCTGCCAAAAGGCAAGAGCCAAAAGGGCTTGCAATGGCTGAGAGCAGCCTTATAAGCCTCTCAGGCCTCTTGCCTCTCAGGAGAAATGAGGCTCCTCTCTAACAGTCATTAATAAATCTGGAGCCAAGTTTGGTGAGTGGGAGAAACGGGGGAGAGGGCTGATCAGCCAGGTTGGGGGTGATCAACTGGGTGGTAGTGCAGAAAGGAGGAACACTTATCAGCTAATTTGCCAATCCTGCCTCAATAGGGAAGCCTCTTAGGTGTGTGTGTGGAGGGGGATTAACTGGGTCACCCTGAGACAGCTCTGTTCAGCTGGTTCCCATGGCCCTCCCAGAGAGGTTTTCTCTGGAGCAGGAGGGGTGGGGGCTGGACTAGGTGAGGTGCTCCTTTCTCTACACATCTGGGACTAGCTGAAGAGAAGCCACTCGAGCAGGAGCAGGGAAAGTGGAGCCTGTGCAAGGAAAGTGTAACATCTCTGCCCAGCCCAGGTTCTCCCTTCTCCTTTTCTCTCACGAAAAGAAACTGTTCTGACAGGTGCTGGGTATGCTAAAGAGCACCTTTCTCCTCAGCAGGAGCAAGGAGGCAGGCAGCCTTGACCCCTTCTTCCTTCTTCCCATGGCAGTGCCTCCCAGCTGATTCTCCTCTCACCCTCATGTGAGAGGCTTCTTTTCTAGTGGGAGTAAGCTACTGGGTGGCACTGTGCCTGCCAGCCAGCCAGCCCTGCCTAACTGATTGCCCCCTCTTCTGCCCCAGATAAAATCTCCAGGGCAATAGATGGGAGAAGCCAGGATGGCTCTAATAGCTGCACCAAACTGGGGCCCCGTTAGCTGCTCTCTCTAGCAATCAGTCAGAATGCTACTTTCTCGTCTGATTATACATCCTAACTCTGCTACACTTTCTTTATATTTCCAGTAACTTGGCTTGACTGCATAGGCAATTTGCTTTTTCCTTTGGGTGATATGCTAAACATCCCCAAATACCTTGCAAAAATTTTTTTCACCCCTTGGCATATCCTACTGAATTCAATGGAACTTCCCAGGTAAGAAAGCATAGGGATTGCAGCTCAAGTTTTATACCCACAGGATTGAACCATCTAGATCTCTCACCACCACACACCTTTATGGAAGGAGATGCCAACATGTTATTATTTGTGTTCAGGGCAGCTTTGACCATGTACAAGACGTTCTTCTTCTGTGGGAAATCATAGACAGAGACTGTGACCTCTGTTGGAACGTTGAGTCCATGGGCCTCCACCACAATCCGCTCTTCAGTCTCTGCTCGCACAACATTCGGGGTGATGAGGGTGTATCTATGAAGGACAGAGTTCACACATTAAGTTATTCATGGTATTTACATGTCCATGCTGCAACTCCTGTCACTCTTCCTTTGGAAAAGTCAACAAATCATTCTTTAGTTGGGATGGGCAGATCCATTGAGTCTGGTTCCACCACTTTCCTCTTTCCCCTCAACTCCAGGTCTGTTCTGCACAATTTTTTCTTTCTTTGCACATGTTTCATTTGCACATGCATTTAATTGGACATATTTTTTCTATTAAATGGAATACATTGCAAGTCTTTAAATGCATGGATTTGGGAATACAAAATCTGCCTTGGTTCGTGTCTGTTTCCAGGAAGTCAAGATTGGGAAAATCAACTAAAACAGAAAACAAAACTAGACCAACCTGGTTTCTTTATCCAGTTCTATTTAATCTCTGCTTACATTCAAGTCACGTGGAAAGATACATCAAGTTGCAAATGTTTGACTCCTATGCACTTAGTCTTTTCTTTTCTAAATACACCTCACTTGCTTTTTTCCTATAGAAATGGTGTCCAGGTTCAGTTTTGTCTTCATCAACCAGCAGTCACATTAGACTGTTTAGTGCAACTGCAGTGCTACTGTTATGTTGCTATAACACTATAGCAGAAACCCCTTTCCAATAAGTATGGGTGCAATTAGAGTTTTAGCTTTGGACTGACTCAAACTGAATAAATAAATAACCACCAATAACCATCTTGCTAAAATGGTTATGAAGCTGAAATTTTATAGTAGTTATAAAACAAAGCTTCTAGCATTCTGGTACTAAAACATTAGGGTGATAAAACAGTATACATCACAAAGTATATAGCAAACTCAGTAGGTTCCTTGATGTGTTACTGCCAATCTTAAAAAACAAAACAAAACTACACCTCTTAAAAATATGGAAAAGTGCCATTAAGATGGAATGTTTAATGACCTGGGGCAGAAGTCTTTGCTGATAAAGGGCAGCTATTCCGTTTTTTCTTAAAAGTTTTTTTTCTGGTGAGAAAAAAAAGATGGAAGGAATGGTTACAAATTGAAGATGCCATCATCTGGACCATAATGTTCTGTGAATGAGGCAGTCTTACTGAATCTTAAAAGCCTTCCTTGGAATCACGACAAGTCAATAAATTAGGTGTGGTGGAGAGCGAGTGGGAAAACACATGAGTATGCTTAATAGAATATTTAGCCCCACAGTGAATCTGATGTACTTACTATAGAACAGCTGTTAACACAAACATATTTAGGAACATTTACTATCTGGATAAGCAGTTTGGGGCAGATGGATGGAGGGAAAGAATAAGAACTTCTCTTTTCAGTTTAGACACAACAGTTGGACACAGCCTAAGTTCTACTCACACAATTGAAAATAAGAGTGTTTCTTCTTTCAGTGATGGATATCCTAGAACATAATTGTCATCAGATAAAATGAACGTTCCAGAGGTAACATTTTTATGTGCCTGCCAAGTTCATTAATCCAGGAAGTTATAGTATTATGTGGGTGCAATAGGGTGACAGGCTGACCAGTTCAGAATACCTATGGCATGGGAGGGGCTGCTGGCAGGCACAACAAACACTCATTACACTTTTAAAAAGTAATTATGAATATGTTTTAATAAAAGAAAAGGGGTGTGAACCACCACAAGAGTCAATGCATTTCTGGAAGGGAAGTGGGGCAACCTGAATGATCCTACATTAAGTTGTTGGTCCTTGTGGAAGTAGCACTGATGTTGATGTGTTGTTTGATTGTGTTGAGCAGTGATGTTTAGTTACAATTGTTGTCATTGTGTTAATTGTATTGTTTTTCTTAGTAGAAAAAAGTGAAATAAGGTAAAAAAAATATAGAACCATCATTACACTATTTGGTCAACAATTGAGGAGGTATTTGTCCACATTTATTCTTCCAAGTACATTCACTGCATTTTTATCAGACATGCAATCTTTTCTTCGGGACTGAGCTCAGAAGAAACACAGTGGCATGGTGCATTAATGGGCTGTGAGATGGCAATATCATTAACCCCCTTCCTCTCCCAAATAATTTAAAAACAATTTAAATATTAAGTGTTTAGACTTAAAGAGTGAACCATAACTCTCAGCATTCCCCAGTCACCATGGCTGGCTGGGGCATGCTGGGGTTGTAGGACATTTTTTCTGTCTAAACATGCATAGAAGTGCACCTGAATCTGATTTTTTTGTGTTTCTTTTTTCTGCTCAATACCCTGCTCAGTACAGAATGCCAAGTTACCACATCCGCTCAGATAACTGCCCTCTTTCATCTTGAATGCCCCTAGTGTGGGAGAGCCTGCAACCCTCGTAAGCAACTGGTTCCGCGGTCACACTGCTCTAACAGTCAGGAAAATTTTCTTGATATTTAATTGAGGGTTAGTGGAAGAGGAAACACATGTGTATGTATACAGTGGTACCTTGGCTCACAAACTTAATCCACTCCAGGACTCAGGTCGTGACCCAAATTGTTCATGAGCCAAATCAAATTTCCCCATAAGGGTCAATGTAAGTAAGGTTAATCCGTTCTGCAACTATTTTTTTTTACTCATAAAAATTTGAAGCAAAGTGACAAAGAACAACAAAGATTGCAGCCATCTCCCCCCACAGCAATTGTGCGGGGGAGGGGGGAGATGGGCAAGATCACGGGTGTGCTGGGGGCAGACAGGCGCAGGCGTAGCGGGGGGCCAGTGCAGGCGTGCTCAGGCAGGGAACACAGGCACAATCACGGCCATCTCCCCCCCCCCAACAGCACGAATGCGGCCATCTCTCCCCCCCCAGCACGAGCACGATCACGTCCATGCAGGGAAGGCGGGCGCGCTCACGATCGTCACTTGATGCAGAGTTTGCGAACTGCAGCAAAATTTTTATGAGATTTCTGTTCCTAACCCGATTTGGTCATGAACTGAGGTGTTCATGAGCTGAGGTACCACTGTACTTGTACATGCGTGTATCTGGGTTTGCACTGTTTCTCTGTATCTGCACACAGTCTGCTGAAGTTGTGGGGATACAGAGTCACAGCCCAACTGAGAATGGATGCAGTACTGGCAACAGGCCTCTCAGGAGGGGTGGGCAGCTGAAGAGTTCTTGGTTCAAATTTCACTGCAGCCATGGAACCATCAGAGGTTTTAAAAAGAGTCAAAGGTGGCTTCCCATTGTGTACACACACATTTCTTTTGTCCCAATGCCACCTCTTTTTGTCTGGTTATAAAACTGTTCAAATAACCTTCACCAAAGAGAAAAGATCAACTTTTTACTGGAGACAAAAATGGTCATGTGTTACAGATTGCAAACAGCTTTCTGAAACAGCTATTGTCTAACTCCAGCTAAAGTCAAGCTACAAGTTCTAGGCCTCAACCCCACCATCTTTAAAACAACCTTGTGTGTGTTGAGGAGGGGGGGCATTTGGTCTCAGCCAGAAAAATCTCTGGGGGCAGTTGCTTGCATGATTGCCATAAAATGGGTCTGCATAATATATGTGAACTGTTTTGATTTATCTGCATGACTGTGTAATGTTTTTAATTGTCATTTAAGTAAAATTTGGTAAACACCTGAGCCTATTCTTACTTTCTGATGAAAGCCACCTTGGGAGAGTATTTGCCTTTAAAGGGAACTGCATAGGTATTTAAACAAATAACTTGCCAAATAAAACATCTGTTATTATTTTATAAGTCACTAGGAGGCCTGTGCCCAAATAAGACTACTGCATTCTTCAGTATCTACAGGATCCAATTCCACTCTGACAGCCACTTAAAACAAAAAAGGCCTCCGTTCATTCTATTATTAAAGAAAATTATTTTAAGAACAGCTCAGTGAGAGCAGCCTACCTTTCAACAGTAACTCTGGGTTCAGTACAAGAAGCTATGGAAGAGCATGAACCAAACTCTCCAGTGTTTAGAAACAAAATAGAGTTTATATCTGTATCTAACAACTGCATCTTTTTTACTCTAGAAAAGGACCCTCAATGTGAATTGAACCTGCAGCAAAAGGAAAGGATTAAGAAATCCCCTATCCCCAGACCAGAATCCCAATCTAGAGGACAGCTGCTCTAGAATAAAAGTGAAAAGACCTAGCCCCTAGATACAGATTTAAAGTCATGTCTGTTTTTAACCCTTATGCAGAGATTTTAAGAAGTTGCAGAGGTTCCACTCCATGGCTAAATCAACATCAAGCCAAACAAACCCCCTGCCTTTCATTTCCCCCCATAAATCACATTCCTGTTCTTCAAGTTATTTCCACACTATTTTCCTTGGAATTTGCCTAGGCACAGGTTTTAAACTGCCCTCAAGCTTCAGAGCCTGCATCTCATTCTTTAAGGCAGTGGTCCCCAGCTTCTTTGGCACCTGTAGAAGACAATTTTTCCACAGACCAAGTACGGGTGATGGTTTCAGGATGATTCAAGCACATTACAGTGGTGCCTCATACTTCAAACTTAATTCATTTCAGAAGGCCATTTGAAGTCTGAAGCATGATCCCCATTAGAAATAATAGAAAGTGAATTAATCCGTTCCCAGACCCTGCACAATACCATCTCAATAAACTTAAACAGTAAATACACATAATTTAAGGTAAAAATAACACAATTAAATGCCAAATTTATGAATTAAAGCTTGACAACAATAAAATATGTAAATATGTACAGTACTGTATAATAAAATGAAAATTACATTTACTGCCCAATTTTTAAGTGAGGAGTAGTGAAGCAGAAAAGGATTGAAAAGGCAGTGGGAATGATCAGAAAGGCAGGCAGTTGAAGGCACTGAGAACAATCGAAGAGGCACTCAAAAGGATCACAAAAAGGCATGCAGGGAAGCCATGCAGCACAGATGCAACAAGAGACAATTTGAGCGCACAACTGATATTTACACAGCAACTGCATTTTTTACTTTGTGGCTGCAGTTCGAACTTCAAAGCATAGTTCAAACTTCAAAGAGTTTTAATCTAGGCTCCAACATTCAAACTCTGGATCTTGCCGGCTGCTTACCTCCTGCTGTACGGGCCAGGTTCCTAACAGGCAACAAACTGGTACCAGTACGCAGGCCGGGAGTTGGGGACCCCTGCTCTAAGGCATCTTTTCCTTCTACCCGAATAACCCAGAGCAACTGCTGCCTGCACGGGGCTTTTGTTTTGTTTTGTTTTTCATTTTAAATCCGCACAACTCAGATTTGGGATTGGTGGCCTTGCAAGGTGAGAGGAGAGCTAAGGCTTTCTCACAGAGAATTTCAATCCCACACCAAATGGTAATCCCAAAGAATTCTCAGGAAAGGCCATGACAGTCGTACTGTGCGAAGCTGTAATACATTTCTAATATAGACAGAAGATCAGTTCCTGTAATGCCAGGATGAACTGAGACAAAAACTGGAAACCAGAACCATGAAAACAGAACAGCTCTAAAAGTCCATGTAAAGCAATGCAGAACAAGAAAAGACTAGAAAAACTGTCCTATACGGAAAGTATGTATGGGGGGGGGGGCGTTAGTTTAGGGGAAAAAATACTTTGGGTAGGGTGTGATGTGCTTGAGAGATCAATTTGCACACAGCACAGATAAACAGATAATTTAGCTTTTCTACATGAAACTGCTAATCTGCTGTTAATCCACTGTAGCTATTTTTGGTTTTATCACAGAATTGCACTACACAAGGGGTGTTTCCTTTCCTGCTTTTCTACAAATGTAACTTCTAGGTAACACTGAGGTATAGTAAATATTGCAAATATGCAAGAGAAGAAATGGTATCTTTCACTTTAACAATTAAGCATTGCATTTTTCCTACTCTTAAAAACACCTCACCAAAGGTGCCCATTAGAAACAGAATCAAACCTGGAGAGTCATTATGAATGATAATGATAAATGCCTCCTATAGAAGGGCCTAGAATTCAGGACATGCACTGAAGCTGAACAGAAAGATGTTAAGTGTTGAGAAAATACTTCTTCAGATACATCTTTTAATGCTTAAAATGGCATGTATTGATAAGCAAAATTGATTCAGAAAAGCAATGCTGAGGAATAAAGCTTTACCCTTCTTCTCCTTCACAGATTCCAGCGGCAAAATTGCACCCCATTTATAGTAACTGCTGATAGTCTTACCATGGAAACTAGACAGGTACTGTACAGACAACTATATTTTTCCTCCACTAAAGCTAAGAGCAGATTTGGGGATGGGATCATGTCATTTATGGAAACAGAGGGATAATCTGCACCAGGGTTATCTTCATATTGCTTCTGCTCTTTTATCCAAGACTTTTCCAGAGAAAAAGGTAGGAAGTCCATGATGAAATCCTCAGATTTAACCCCCTAATGTCTTATTACCCCTCAAATTCATGGGTTCTGCATAGCTTTATTAAAGGAACAGGCAGGTAAAGGACCTTTTTTGTCCCTGTTAAACTGCTAGATGGGTACTTGTTTTAGTATGTATGAGTTATTGCCAGTAATTCTTATTTGAATTACAGGCAATAAAAAATAGGCCCTGATTCCTTTCCAGTTCTCTGAAGAAAAAGCCCTTCCTAAACCAGAGTTGATGTTTAAGCTCAGATTCAGTTCAACTTCCTGATGGTAACTTTCCCTTATGAATGTTCCTAACCTTGATTTATACCTATAAATCAGGGGTGGGGAAACTGCAGGCTTCTGGGATCTACTGAGGTCTACCAAGAAGAGCCAAGTGCAAAATAAAAGCTCAGACAGGAAGACTTATGCTAAGGATTAAGAAACATAGTGCACCTAAGCACATGCTTAGCCCAGGAATTTGTGAAAACTACCTTCTAGCATTATCTCTCCATGATTCTTTTAAAGAAAACTAACTTAAGGGGGGGGGGGAAGGCATTTGGTTGTTGCTATTGTTAGATGTTTGGGAGTGAGAATCTCCAGCTGATCTACTGTAAATCACCAAGGGATCTATCACTAGATCCCAAACTATATTGTACCCACACTTGCTGTAGAGCAGGGGTGGACAACATGAGATACAGGCCACATGTGGCCATTTGCAACTGGCAGCACTGAAACAAAAGTTAGCCAGGACAGAGGTGTTTTTTGTCCTAACAGGAAGTAAAACAGCTAAATGCGGCCTGTCTTGATATTGAATTTCGGTGACACTCCCATGGGCAGCAGCCCATGGAGTAAAATTGCTCCCATACTTCCTGAACTTGCCTACTCTGCTGTAAAGATTTGTTCCCACTTGCAAGAATCTTGAACCAATTGCATTTCCATTCTGGTAGTCCCAGAACTAGCCACTTACCTTTCTACATTGAACTTCCTGTTCTGGCCGTCATTATGTGTACTGATGGATAGTTTCTCCCATAGCCTCCCCGCATCCCTCTACAGCTGACACTCAATGGTGATATCTGAGTTCACATCACCACCAAAACAATCACATGTGAATTTACTCACAAGCCCATTTTGCTGTGCATACATTTGGATTTTCTGTTTCAGATACCAAAATGCTCTGGGCTATCTTGGGAAAGTTATTCTATTTGAAAAAGCCGCTCATTGATGCTAGAAGAAACAGAACCCTGAATTTGATGGACTTCCTCAGCATATAATTAAAAAGAGAGAGAGAGAAAGACATGTTTTCCAGAGGAGACACCTTCCTTTGTTTCAGAAATGAGAATGCAGGGTTAGGCTGCTGAAATTTATCTGGTACTTACAATTGGCTGTGGGAAGAAGCCGGGAAGCAAACCACAAGGGCAGCTACCAGATAGAAAGCTCTCCCCTCCATAGTGATCAGGAGGGCCAAGAGGCAGATGCAATCCCAGTATTTATCCTGCAAGCCTGCTTCTAAGCCATGCCTTTTCGCAATAGCTCAGTGTTTAATCACTAGATGGGGAGGAGTTTGAGCAACCGGGGGATTTCAGAAGAAACTATTAAGGTTGTCAAAAATCACAATGATGTATTTGTTCTTTTCAAAGTTTCAGCTAAACAGTGTATTTGTGCAATTTGTTCCTGAGAATTGTACTTAGGTGGTGCAATCTGCAAACATCCCATGATATGGGTAAATCTTAGCTTGCCTGAACCTAGGAAAGTACAGACTGAAGTTTCGCTTTTTAGCCCAGTTCTGGGGTATAGCTTTTGTCCCCTAAACTGGAAACTGCAATGGACTTTAGCAATAACGGGCACTCACTGCACAGGGTATTATGTTTTATATTGATAGCACTAACTTGGATGTCTTGGCATCAAAAATCACACCACCCATGCAGCTAGCTTCTTAGGAGGAGACAAATTAATGGAGGATTTTACTATCAATGGCTGCTAGTCCTCATGGCTTTATTAGCAGCTATATCAGCAGCAATGAGACCACTTCTGAAGAAATCATTTCTAGACCTGGAATGACTCAATTATTTTAAGCTAGTTGCAAATATTCCTTTCTTGGGCAAGGTTTCTGAGTGGGTAGTGGCCAACCAGTTCCAGGCAGTCTTCTGACTGATTTTCAGGATTCATTTCAGTCAGGACAGCTATTGGCACAGAAACAGCTTTTATCACCCTGTATGTCAGGAGAGAGACAAGGGGGCTATGAACCTCCTAATACTCCTGGGTTTCTCAGCAGCTTTTGATACCATCTTCTATGGTAGCATTTTGGGGAAGCATTCTTAGTAATGAGTGGAGGCTACTATCCTGTGTTGATTTTGCTCCTACCTGGATGTGTGGCTGCTTTGCCCCATAGACGCTCTAGAGGCCACTCTTGTCCCCCATGCTATGTAACATGCAGATGAAACCACTGAGCTCTGGAGTGTGTTGATGACATGTAGGTCTAGTTCTCTTTTTCCTTTCCATTAAACGATGCAGTGAACAGTGTCTGGCTGCCACGATGGATTGGATGAGAATTAACAGTCTGAAGACAATCCAGACAAGACTTCTAGTAGATGGTCCCTCTGACTAGATGGAGAGTGTTCAACCTGTTCCAGATGGGATTGTTCCCCCATTGAGGGGGGAAGTCCATAGCTTGGGTCCTCCTCAGACCATCTTTGTCACTTGAAGCTCAGGTGGCTTCAGTGGCACAAAGTACCTTCAACCAGCTCCAGCCTAGTTTCAGTGATTTCAATAGTTTCCACCTCTGGTAATCTCTACTAGATTACTGCAATGTACTCTGTATGGGACTGCCCAGTTCAGAAGCTGCAGTTTCTGCAAAATGTGACAGCCAGACTAGTAAGTGGGACCAGAAAAGTCCAGTTGACTGCCTATATGCTTCCAAGCCTACTACAAGGTGCTGGCTTGAACTTAGAATGCCCTTCAAGGCTTGGGACTGCAATGTTTGGTGCAATGCACATTTTTCAACTGCAATCTACCTGGGCACTGTCATCAACATCCAGGCCCTGCCTCCAACTGCTACCTCTCAAGGAGCCTTGGTTGGTGACAAGGAGGGCCTGCTCAGTGATGGGCCCTCAACCATGGAACAAGCTCCCTGCTGAAGCCTGCCTGGTTCTACTCTATTATCATTCTGGTGCCAAGATATAACTGTCTTCTATGTCAAATCATTTATTAGCTCTAATAGCATATTGGGATGTTATATCAGCTGCTTAACAGCTCTTGCTGTTAACTTGTGCTAGCTGTTGTTGTTTGAATTTGGTTTTCAATTCATGTTTTAAATTTTGTGGTGACATTTTACAATATTTTTATTGTTACCAATATTATATTATATTACAATTATTAGGGTGCTGCTGTGATCCACCCAGAGCACTTTTACTATTGAGCTGTCTATAAAACAAACCACCCAACCAAATACGCTGCCTCCAGTTACAGAGCCAGTGTGTCTCCACATTGCAGTTCCTGGGGTGTGTGAGTGGGATGTTGCTGCTGCACTCACACCCTGCTTGTGGGTTTCCTTAGGGTAACCAGTTGGCCACAGCATGAACAGAATGCTGTGTAGATGAATCTTGGTCTGATCTGGCCCGGCTCTTCTTAGGAACTTACTTTCCCCGTTCACTCTGCACTGAATCGCTGTCACCGCCACCATGGGCAGGTTTTGAGGGAATGAAGAAATCTGCCAGTGGAAAAAGCATTTGCTGTGGCAGCAGCAGGGTGCGGGGTTGGGAAGAGTGTTTGCGTCATTCCTCCAGCCTTCCAACTGTGAGCTGGTGCCGACTTGACCAGAGGTGCGAGTGAGCTCCGTGAGCAGTGTAATGGGTGACGCAGGAAACCTCAAAGGACTGGAGTGGCGACTTCCGTGATTATAGAACTGCATCTTCAGATTGTTCTCATCCCAGAAGCAGCAGCTGAGAGCACCCATGGATCTCTGCATCACGGATGATGCTCCCTGTGTCAGTGGGCCACTGTGGTGAGGCCTGTCTGGGCAGTGCCATCCTGGTTGCTCCTGCATCCTGGTTGCTCCGGGACGGTGCCACGCACAGTGCAGCATGTCTTGTGGGAGCAGGTGCAGGGCATGCCAGCTAAAATGCGGAACAAGGTACTTGAGGCCTCTTTATGCATTTCACTCAATTAACTCTTGCTGTGGACCCACCTCATTTTCAATCACTACTCCAGAGATTTATGTGGACAAAAATATCCTACTCTTCCCAATTGTTTCCTCACTTAAAATACTGAATTTGTGCCATTGTACACATTCACTGTCAATGTGTTTCTACCTTGTTTTGAAAATTTCTTTCCCCAAATGCCAAACTCACAGCTACTTCTTTCTTCCTTCTCAGGCTCCTCTGCTCCCCGTTTTCTGACTTTCAGATTTTTAGATTCACTGCAATATTTGTTTATGAATGTACATTTCAGCATTATTAAGACATTTAAACAGTTGAACCTCGAATTTTGTGGGTTTAACTTTTGTGGATGTTATTATTCATGAGTTTGCTATTGAGAATTAAATGGGATTCTTTAAAAAATATTTTTTGAAGCCTACTGCAGAAAATTGTCATCCCCATGTAGCCAGGAAGTGAAAAGGGAGAGAGGGAGGACCTCCAAAGTATGTCTTCTTGCCCCACCCATCCAGAGAGGAAAATCCCTGTAGCATTTCTTTGGGACAAAGAGGTGGCAGTGATGAGCGAAAGGGAGCGTGCGGAATAAGAACATACAGTGGTACCTTGGCTCACAAATGCCTTGGCTCATGAATGCTTTGGGTCACAAACGCCTTGAGTCATGAACAAAAATGTCATGAAAATTTTGACTTGGGTCACAAACTTTGCTTTGGGTGGCAACCAAGATCGCAGCCATCTCCCCACCCCCCTGAGTGGGGAGATGGCCACGATTGCAGTCACATTCATGCAGGGAACACATGCGTGATCACGGCTGTGCTGTGCTACGCCCGTCTTTCCTGCAGGAGCGCACCTGTGATCACACACGTCTTCCCTGCACGAATGCAACTGCGATCATGGCCATCTCCCCACTTGTGGGGGTGAGAAGATGGCCGAGATTGCGGTCATCTTTCCTGCAGGAGCGCAGCCATGCCAGGGTTTCTTTGAGAAGCACCACCCCAACATAAATGTAACGAACAGAGTGTTGAATCTGATGAGCAATAACGTGGTCTCTCATTTCCGGAGGGTTATGCAGCGCAGGAAAAAACAACCAACTATAGACAGATTTTTCACCAAAATTGACCTTGCAGCTAAGAGACAAAGAGAGGAAACCCCTGAAAGAGATCTCCCCAATGTCCTTATGGAGGGGGACTCTCCCTCAAAACAATAATCCCCCCCCCGCACCCAGGTTAGTGTTCTCCACTGTACTGTACTCTATTACTTTGTTGGTCTTTCTTACTTTGTTGTTCTTTGTCACTGTGTTTCAAATTTTTCTGATTAAAACAAAATAGTTACAAAACAGATTAACCTTATTTTCATTGAACCTTATGGGGAAATTTGACTTGACTCGTGACCAAAAACTGGCTCACAGCCACATCCGGAGGAGCCATAACGGATTAACCTTATTTACATTGTGACCCAAGTCAAATTTCTCCATAAGATTTAACCAATCTGGGTCACAACCAGAGTTGTGGAACGGATTAAGTTTGTGAGCCAAGGTACCACTGTACGAAGATAATAAATGAGGCAGGGGAGCCCTGCTGCATCAGACCAAGGTCTGAGAAAGAGAGGGAGAAGCAATCCAGTACATGTACAGTCAACAGTTTTAAGAATTAATGTTTTTGGGGGGGGGGGTAAAGTATTTGTGTTTTTTCCACTTTCACAGGGGTCCTATGCCCCTAACTCCAGCATATCTGGAGGGCCATCTGTATTTTTAAAAACAAGTCTGTAGTTCCAATGGAAAGAAGGACATACAGAAATGTGTGAAGTTTCCATCAGGGACAGCAAAGAAGCAGAAAAAGGCTGCCCTGCTCCAGCCTAACTGGACTGAATTTCCCCTGGGAATTGTTCTGGAGTGAGGCCTGCATTTTATATAGGGCTGTCCATCTAATAAATGCAAAATTGAAGCCATAGTATTATGAAGGTTTTCTTTTTCCTTTAGGACAGTGCAACAAAAGATAGACAGATATGCAATGCTTTTGAAAAATAATCACCAGCATTGTCTTGGTGCTGGATCGTTTTGCTAAGTTAATCTCTACCTGTAGGTACTTCTGGAATAGAACACCTTGTTATCTGTATTTTAGACATGATGGGCATGTTTTCACATCACACTAATTCACTGTGGGCAATAAGCCAACTGTGAGCCTGATAGATGATTAGCTTACTATAGATTCACAGAATCATAGAATAATAGTGCTGCAGGGGGCCAAGAAGACTATCAAGTCCAACTCAGTGCTCAAGACAGGATTCCAGGTAAAAGCATCCTTGACAGATGGCTGACAAGCTCCTCCTTAAGTGTCTCTGCTGTGGAA